GGATTTGATTTGCACTGTCACTCGGCGGTTCCCTCTTCTTACTGCCCCCACCAGGCTTCACCTTTATCTCCCGTTTCACATCTTGTTGAAAATTATTCTCAGTCCTCAGAGACCTCGATCTAGGTTTAGATTCTGAATCTCTAAAGAGATTTGAGACCGCGTCAGACAGCTACAGACAGCCCTCGACAGGCACAGGCTGTCGTCGGCCTGGTGCTGAGTGCAAGTTTGTGGTCCGTCTCTGAGATGAGACTCAGTTACCCAGTTTCTCCATGGGGCATCAGGTGTCCTTCGTTAGAGCAGTTTCGGGAGTGCCACACCCAAGAGGGCAAGGGTAACCCTCTGTCCCTCCCTCAGAATGTTAGGAAGTTCCCAGATGATAGCTAGTACATTGGTAGCACGATTGTGTAACTAGAAAGTGCCCTTGCCAGATACCTAAATTCCAGAACAAGGACGTCACCTATCAGAATTAAAATATAACTCCATATATATGCCGCTACAGGGTCATAAAGCTTAAATGTCCTTGATTCCATGGCTTAACATTGTCAGTTTAATTTTCAGACTGATGGAACCTGAAATGTGCAGTTAAATCACATAAAGTAGAACAAGTTGTAACACTCGGCGTTTTCCAAGCAGTCGCCCAGCTGGTAGGAGACGATAGTAGTTTATCTCTTTCTTGCACAGAAAGCCTCTTCACAGACCTGGCGTCGTCTGGCTTCCTGCTGACCTTCAGCCTGATTGAAAGAACATCTTTGCTTTCAGTTGGCCAAAGTGAGACAGGCCAGCCATTTCCAAATGACTAAGAAGCAGAAAAATGGGGAGCTCTTATTTGCAAACATATTTTATTCCTTTCCCTCACTTAACCAGAACAGTCTTCAGATCTTCTGTTTGCATGCTTTGCTCTGATCCGGGGGTCCTCCCAAGCTGCCTGCTGCTCTTTGCAGCATACCAGCCTCTCTGTTCTTCAGGTATTAGTTGTGTTGGCCTGAACAAGTTCTTCAGGTCTCAGAATTCGTAATAACAGCAGTACCATAATGAGTCCAGTACGTTTCATAAAGCACAGTGTTCCGTTTCTTCATCGTCCTGGCCCAGCGTGGTTTGCTTCTCCTGACTACTCAGTTGCTTGTGTGTCTGCCTCTTCTCCCTCTTGGCTGTGGTGTCCACGAGCTCAAAGGTGGCGTCTGGCCCCCGGCACCCGTGCAGCCTCCTTTGCTGTGTTGGTCTGCTTTCATTCGTCTGGTGCCTCCAGGCAGAGACCTCTATGCACCTCCTGGTCCAGCCCATGCCCGCGGAGCCGTGGCTTCAGCTCCTGCCGGCCGCGAGCTGCTCTCAGGGGTTAATGTGGGCGTTCCTCTCCCGCTGCTTGGTGAGATTTCCAGTTTCAGCGGAAACAGTGTTATAAACCCAGTAGAACTGACGCCTCCTCAGAATATTAGTGTCTCATGTGTGTGGACTTGATGTCAACGTTCTGCCCCAGGGCCTGGAAGGTGTCGCTGGAGCTGTGGTGCGGGCGCACTTGGTAGGGCAGATGGGATGTCGTTTCACGTTTCTTCTTAACTCGCTTTCTATTTCTTAGGTGTTGGCTAAGCTGCTTGGGCTGGTACACTTGCTTATTTTTGTTCTGTTTTCATCCATTTTCCTGAAGTAATCTTTGGAAACATCAGAAGTTACTCTCCATTGACCTGGACAAAGTGGTATTACCCAACTTTCGATCGAATCGCCCTCAAGTGAGACCCTTGTCCCCGGGAGAGAGCGGTGCCTGGGACATTCCTGGAGGTCAGTTCGGAGCTGCTGTATTACTGTGCCCCATCATCGGAGTTTCTGCAAGGTCTCCTTCCCTCCCCCGCGAGGTGGGCCAGACCATGCCTGTCTTTGCCTTCCTGGGAGCCATCATGGCACAAATCAACAAGGCCAGAGGCGGGCCAGGAAGATAAACACACCACCGTCTCTCAGAAAATTCTGCCTGCATTTTCAAATACGAATTTCTTTTATGATGTCCAGGTGTTACACTTAAAATTTTTCCACCAGAGTAACTTGTGCACTCTTGTTAAAGTTCTGCAGACAGACGTATTGTGCACCCTGGGGGCGCCCGTCATCTGCTGGTCTGGGTCCCAGCCAGTGCCTGTAGCCGCCCTGCTCCCTAAACCCCTCAGCGCAGAGGTCTGCACTGATGCCCTGCCTGGGCTCGCCGGGGGTGGGCCTTCACTGGGCTGGATTCTCCCTTAAGTGCAGGGCTGTGCCCCTTGGGTGATCTGACTCTGTCCCTCACCCCAGGTGATGTAAGATGTCCCCTCCACAGGTAATGGCTTTCAGCCTACTAGGCTGTTGGGGACAGGTTCTCCTGTACCTGGGACAATTGGTAGCAAGTCATTCCAGCAGAGTGCAGGCAGCTCTTCTGCTCTGGAAGTCCCTGTGCCCTTCAAAGAGTTGACAGCTCCCCACGGGGAGTTCTCCTGCTTCCAGGAATTGACCGGAAACTGGGGATCAGAAAGGAGTGCCATATCCCATGTGATCCAACCCTGGGAGCTTTGTGTGACGCCAGGCTCCTGAGGGCCTTGCCTGCAGGTCATGGGGTGCATTGATGATGGTTAGTTCTCAACCCCAGCATTGCTCAGTTACAAAGTCCCACTGACGGTATAAACCAAGGGTCCTCCAGCGACCACTCTCAGTTTCCAACCACGTGTCCTCTCTGGAAGGCTTTCCCAGCAGGGTGGGGGCACAACCAGCCATCCTTACCTCCCCGCCTGCCCTCCTCCCTACTCTCCCACTCAGCTAGTACAACCCCAGCACCCTCTCCTCCCCCTAGCCTCCAGATTTATCCGAATTCCGTCGTATTCAGGGAAGCACAAAGCCGCTCTGGGCCCCCCTGTCGTAGGTTGTCTGTGACAGAAGAAAGGCCATTCTGGTCTCTGTCTGAGGTGAACACAGGGGGAGGAGGAGCAAAGACCTCACCTCTGCCCGCCCCCAGGCAGCTGCTCACCCCAGTGCGCAGCCGCGTGTCCCTGTCGTTCTCTCCTGGTGGCCTGGGTCCCTGTTGCTGAGGTTTAGAAATTGTATTTGCCCGGCAAGGTCAGCTGATGGAATTAGTTAGCATTTGGTTTCCCATGAGCCCCCGCCTCCCAGGGGAGGAGGCTGTGGCATACTGACCGCTCCCTGCTGTCCTCTTGCAGGGATCATGCCTGGCCGCTACAACCAGGAGGTGGGCCAGACCATTCCTGTCTTTGCCTTCCTGGGAGCCATGGTGGTCCTGGCCTTCTTTGTGGTACAGATCAACAAGGCCAAAAGCAGGCCGAAGCGGAGGAAGCCCAGGGTGAAGCGCCCACAGCTCATGCAGCAGGTTCACCCACCAAAGACCCCTTCGGTGTGACAGCAGGCCGCTGACTGTGAGAGCCGAAGAGAGCCTTTGTGGGTGGCCTTGGTGGGCAGGCAGAGCTGGGAGGTTTCCAGGGCAGCCGCCTGCTTAAAAGGGATCGAGTCTTCAGCCGGGGGTGTCTTTGAGTCCGTTCTGACTGAGCCTCCCGTGCGATGGGCGGAGGCTCACGGTACATCCTGAAGTGTCTCGTGGCGGCGGCCGCAGGAGGGCCTCGGCGGAGCAGCTGGGAGTGAGACTCCATCCGGCTGCCACGTGCACCAAAGACTTGGGGAGCTCCACACGGCGGGCTGCGGTCTCCCTGCCCCAGAGGAGGGGGTGCTTTTAAACAGTGAGACACTCTGACCAAGCTCAAATATGCTCGTTAAAGGCTATTTTGTATATTTATTGTTGGGAAAAAGTCACTTTAAAGACTTGTGCTATTTGGAAGCAAAGCTATTTTTTTTGTCAATGGAATGCAATTTTTTACTCTTACATCATGAGGAATAACACAGATTCCACGATCTCCTTTTTGATGAAAGGACAGACTGAGATTTGAAGGAAACTTGCACAATCTGTGAAACATAGACCTTTGCTTTATTTTTATAAGTATCAACCGCCATCATGTTTTGTAATTTGGGGTCTTGATTTCACCATTGTCGGTGAAGAAAATTTTCAATAAATGCATTACCTGTATGAAGCTGAAAAGAATTGTGTAATGGGCTTTTTTTCCACTGACCCATTTGTCTTTGGTGACAACCTGGAATGGGTTGTGCATCAGCCTGTTACTTTTTTTTGAGATGTGACTCACATACTATAAAATCCTCCACGTTACAGTGTGCCAGTCAGTGGTGTTAGTATAGTCACGGCTGTGCAACCGTCACCCCTGTGATTCCAGAACATTTCCATCACCCCCAAAAGAAACCCCACACCCATTAGCAGATCACCCCCTCTTCCCTCCTCGGCAGCCCATGGCAACTGCTAGTCCGCTGTCTCTCTGGATCCGCCTGCTCTGAACATTCCATGTAAATGGGGTCATATAATACCTGGCCTTTGTGACTGGCTTCTTTCACTTAGCGTGTTTTCAAGATTCGTTCACGGCATAGCGTGGCTGTGCCTCACTCCATTTTGTGGCCCGTACACTGTTCCGTTGTTTCTCCCTGCCTCAGTTGACAGACAGCTGAGTTGTTTGCACTTTTGGGCTGTCGTGAACAGTGCTGCTCCGAGCGTTTGTGTACAAGCTTTTGGGTAGACATAAGTTCTCGTTTCTGTTGGGTGTATGCCCAGGAGTAAAATCATACAGCTCAATGTTTAAGTATTGGAGGAACTCCCACACTCTTTCTTCCAAAGTGGCCGCACCATTTTACATTCCACCAGCAGTATGAGCAGGGTTTCTGTTTCTCCACATCCTCACCACCACTTGTTACTATCCATCTTTTTTGATTATAGCCGTCCTGCTGGGTGTGAAGTGGTATTCCATTGTGGTCTTGATTTGCATTTCTCTAAAGACGAATGAAGTTGAGCATCTTTTCATGTTTTTTTTTTTACTGGTTTATCGGCCATTTGTATATCTTCTTTGGAGAAATGTCTGTTCACGTCCTTCGGTCATTTTTTAATTGGGTTGTCTTTTTATTATTGAGATGTAAGAGCTCTTTATATGTTCTAGATACTAGTCCCTTATCAGATGTGTGACTTGCAAATGTTTTCTCTTGTTCTGTTGGTTTTCACTTCCCTGCTGGTATCTTTGAAGCTTAAAAGTTTAATTTTGACGAAGCCCATTTTATCTACTAGGTACCATTTCTAAGAAAGCATTGCCTAAACCAAGGCAGCCCGTTCATTTTTCATTTCTGTCTGTCCAGTCTGTTTTCCGTACGTCAACTGGCCGAGCATCAGCCTTCATGTCACAGGTGAGGACGAGCTGACTGGAAAGGGCAGAGGCCGCGTGGATCTGGGTGCTGATGAGGTCCTGGTAAGAAAAAGGCCCAGGCCAAGGGACGAGGTGGGGAGTCGCTAAGTCCCAGCTCTCCCTGTGACGGGTCATCCTCGGCAGGTCATGTTGGTGGTCCTTGCAATTTTTGACTGCGCTCCGTGGTTGCTATTGCCTCGAGGCTTTGAAGGTATTGCTCCACTCCCAAGCAGCCCTGGGAGTGGAGGCAGCTAGGTGCACGGTGGCATGTCGTCCAGCCATGGGCCGTGGATCTGAGTGTAGCTTCGACATGGCAGAACGAGGGGCTTGTGCACTGTTCCTTGTGGAGCTGTCTGGTCCCCTGCCCACCCTGCACAGGTGTGGACAGCTCCCCATCTGCTGCCCAGCACCACGAAAGCCCTGGTCACGGCCTGTCCTCATCCCCCAGGCCTAGGCAGGTCTGGAGTCTGAGGATACGGCCCCAGCATAAGACAGCAGGTTGCAGGGGGCTGGGACTCTGGAGTGCCCAGGCCCTGGGTAAGGACAGCACATCTTCGGAGTTTTCTAGAGAAGCTGAAACCTGGAGTACGTGAAATCTCCTGGTGTAATGTTGGCAAATGATTAGAGAATTTTTTTTGTAAACTAGACCAAGTGTCCCCATTGTAAGGGCCTCCTGACACTGCAGGCAATGTGGTTGTACAATGGCCTTCCGGGGCTTAGTCTCCACGCTGGCCGTGGGCCTGGGGTTCACCCGTCTCTTTGGGGACGTGGATACCTCCTCCCCAAAAGAAGAAACTTGGACCTGGGGGTCTCTCCTGTCCCTGCCCGCGGGGAGGGTCCCTGGCCTGGCTTTTGAGGTGTGCATCTACACACGTTAATACCTTCGGGACCAGCTCTCCTGGCTCCCCCGTCGTGCCGACCTGGCCTCTGTCCTGCTCTCTCGAGCCAGGATTGGAGGTGCCAGGCAGGCCCCCTGTAGAGCGGAGCTGGACCGAGCGCTTTCACGGCAGCCTCGGTGCTTGCGTGTACATGCTGGGTTTGGGCATTTGTAGGGCTGCACAGTTGAGACAGGAGAAGACAGACGGACAGGCATGTACGCCCAGACCACACATTGACGCTAAGCCAAGAACAGAAGAGAGGCGTTGAGTACTGAGATCATCAGGGACCTGTGCTTCCTGCGCCTCCCAGAAGGGAGGCTGTGCGTGGGATAACCCAGCAAGGTGACATACAGCAGCAACCACGTGCGGACCATGGTCGGCCTTCGGATACAGGGCAGCCTCACAGCAGTCCTGAAGGCCTGGGACACAGGCAGGCATGCCCACCCGCCACGAGGAGCCATGTTCATAGAGGGGGAACATGGGAAGAGAAGGCAGGTGCTCTCCTGTCTGCTGGCCAGAACGGGACTCAGGAGCTGTGTGCCAGGCTCACTGTGCTCAGCGCAGCACCTGCATCTGTCTTGTCCTCCCACACACGCAGGGTAGGGCTCACCGGCCCGCTGCACAGAGGGAGTGCTGCCAGAGAGACAGGCTCGGTATCTCGCCAGGATCGCACGGCTAGTAACGCTGCAGGATGGGAACAGAGCCTGGGGGTCTGACCTCTGTCCCTCCTGTGGTGTCTGTATGACGTCCGTGTCTGCCTCACTTTACGGGGACAGCACTGCTGGGGACTGAGCAGTCATGGGAGGAATGAAGTAGACGAAGGAGTGAGTGAGGCTGAGCTGGAGAGAAGTCTTCAGTGGGGAGAGCCTACACAGAAAGGGGATTAAATCTCCAGGAAGACCCGATCGATGGGGTCTGTGTGCGATGCCCTGTCGGAGGAGAAAGGTGTCTCAGGTTGTTGCCCTGGGACACCTGGGAGGAACGTTCTAGAGAGGATGTCACTACCCAGGGCACAGGTGGTGGCCCTAGCCTCAGGCTGCCCGGGGCCCAGTTCCAGCTTGTGGGCCTTCACTTCTCTGAGCACGGAGTGTCAGGCCATGTGCCTGACACAGAACCAGCGCTCAGTCCTGTCCATTGTGGTCAGTGGTAGGTGATCTCATGGTGACAGATGTGCCTGAAGGCCATGGGCACAGGCGTGGAGGGGACCCTTTCTTGCCCTGGCATGGACCCTCATCGTCCTAGGGAACACCTACATCTATTTTAAAAACCAAAAACATGAGCAACCAATCGACAACAATCACAGATAACCTGGGAGTCCATAGCGCTTCAAGAGGGCCAGGCATCCAAGTCGGGCCCCAGGGCTCCTTCCTAACCAAGCTCTCCCCTGAGAGCCGGGCAGGGGCCCTGACTGCAGGAACCTTGAAGGTGCTGCACGCAGATGGCTGGAAATGGGGGCAGCAGGGCACCCCCGCCCCACCCTCAGCCCCACCCGTGTCCAGGACGTGCGGGTCTGAGGTCCTCCCTGCATGTGCACGTAGCTATCCCTGCTCCCCAGGAGCAGGCTCCACACATGACAAGCCTGAGGAAGCCTCCCACGAGGGCGGCCCTGCAGCCTGTGATGCTGACCCGGCAAGATGGCACGGCGTCTGCTGAGCGCAGGGTCAACAGGACTCTGGTACGACCCAGCTATTCCACCGCTAGGCGTCAACCCAAGAGAATTGAAAACAGCTGTCCAAACAAAATCTCGTCTGTGAAATTCACAGACGCACTACTCACGATAGTCAAGAGGAGAATCGATAGCCCAAACATGCGTCAGCGGAGGAGTGGATGCGCAGGATGTGGCAAATCCACACCGTGGAACGGTACTCAGCCACGAAGGAGAGGAAGGACTGATCTCGCTCTGTTGTGGATGGAGCTCGAAAACATGCTGAGTGAGAAGCCAGGATTCCTTCTGTGTGAAACGTCCAGAACAGGCAAATCCAGAGACAAGGCAGGTTAGTGGTTGCTTAGGGCTGGGGGAGGGGGGAGAGGAGTGACAGCCAATGGGTATGGGGTTTCCTTTGGGGTGATGGAAATGCTCTGGGACTAGATACTGGTGGTGGTTGCGCAACACTGTGAATGTACTAAGTCCCACTGAACTGGATGCTTCAAAGTGGTGAATTTTATGTTATATGAATTTCAACCCCCAAAACACAAACATCCCCGGGGGCTTCTTGTGAATGGCAAGGTGGGAGCCCCTGGCCTGGAGACTGGGAGGGGCTCTCTGGCCCTCCAGATCCCAATGTCACCCCGGGGGTGAGGACCAGGGCATGAAGACCCTGAGGGTCTGGGCGCCCTCCTCGCTGCCCTGTGATCCAGCCCCCGCTCCGGCGGCTGAGCCTGCTGGGTGCCTCCTCCCAGGATGCAGTGGGCGGGAGGAAGGTCACCATCAAGACCGTGCAGATGCTTCCTTCACTGCCTTCACCCAGGGCGGGACTCCGGATCATAACTCTGTCACCAGCCCCTCATTAGAGGGAGGGGGCCGCAGGACTTGGCAGGGCCCGTGCCCTTGAGCCGTGTGTCACCTGGCCGCCCCTGGCCTTGGCTCTGCAGAAGAGACTCCTGCTGTTGAGCCCGGGGCTGGGAGGGCAGAGGGGCCACGGGCCTCCTGCCTCTCCGAGGTGCCCACCATCGGAACTCAGGGTGCTGGGTGTGTCAGTTTTCCTGTTGTCACCATAACAAGTCACCACAAATTAGTGCCTTAAAACGACACATTCCTTCTACAGTCTGGAGGTTGAAAGTCCACCATCAGTCTCGCTGGGCCACAGGAGCGGGCAGGGCTGCTCCCTCTGGAGGCTCCAGGGGGAATCTTCTGGCCCTTTCCAGCTTCTAGAGCTTCCCTGATTCCTTGGCTCATGGCCCCTTCCTCCATCTTCCGTGTGCATCTAACTCTAACTTCTGCTTCCATCATCACATAGCCTTCTCTCTGACCTCTGACCCCTCCCACATCTCTGTTTTAAGGACACTGATCACATTCAGGGCCCGCCCAGGTCATCCAGGATACTTGCCCCATCTCAAGGGCCTTCACTTCCTCTCACCCGCAGAGTCCCTTTGCTGTGTCAGTACACACGTTCACAGATTCTGGGAAAGGGACAAGGGCATCTTAGGGACCATCATTCAGCCGACCACGCTGGGCTTCTGTCCCTGAGCTGCGTTGTTTCCACAGGAGGACTCTGGGTCCCTGGTTAACTGCTGCAGGTGGAGCTGCCCTTAAAAGTCCACGAGCTCCTGGCATCTGAACACCTGAGGCTTTACTCCTCCAGCGCCTGGTTCGCTCCACCTGGCACTGTGGGCCAGGCCCAGGCAGAAGGCTGCAGAGAAAGGAGGGGCCGTGCGCTCAGGGCCGCGGGAGGAAGACAGGGCCCCTCAGAACTGAGGTTCTCCACTTCACGGCACGGTAGCCTCCCTTGTGGAGCTTTCTAGAAATCCTGATGCCCGGACTGCTCCAGACCAAGTTCATCTGAAGCTTGGAGAGCGGGTCCAGCAGTGGTAGTTGCAGCGTTTCCGCGGTGTTCTCGTGTAGCCGCATTTGGAATGCTGCTCTGGAGGTAAAAGCCTAAATACCGGCAAAGAAATTTGAAGTGCACTTATTTCAACAACAATAGTGATTTGAAATCACACTCACTGCTCACTTCCGTGCTGTGAGCACATTCTCACTGAATCCTCCGAAGGGCCCTGTTAGGAGCCCGTTTCACAGGTGACCCCAGCGAGGCCCAGATCACAAAGCCATTGAGTGACAAGGTCGCCGTTCCGTCCCAGGCACTCTGGCTCCTGAGACCTGCCCTCATCTGTCTCCCACAACGTGCTGACAGGTGTAAGCGCAAAGGCCGGGAGGAACAACTGAGGTGGCTTTCTCCCAGAAGTTCCTAACCTGTCTCGTGCCCCACATTCTGTGAAGAAGGAGGGACCCTTGGGAACAACCCTTGGTGACAGGTGCTCTGGTGGGGCGACGTAGCAGATGGGAGATGTCTCCCACTTGTGGGTGCTGGACTGAGCTGCTGCCAGCCTCGTCCGCCAGGGCACGGCTGTGCCACCTTGCTCACTGTCTTCCCTCTGCACCAGCCCCGGGCCCACACAGATGGGGCCCCGCGGGGCGCCTCTCTGCAGCTCGGGAAAGGTCACCCACCCTGGGAGGCCGGCAGAGAGCATATCAAAGCCCCTCAGAATTAAGAGGTTTTCCCATTGAGTGGAATTTCACAGCCCAGTGGCCAATTTCTAAGTCATGCACGTTAATGGGCAGCTAATGAGGGACCCAGGCGGGGACAGGGAGGTGCCCCCCGGCTCCCCCAGCCGAGATTAAGCAGTACAAAGCTGAGCCGCTGGTGAGGGCCCTTGTCTTCCTTCTCACTGCCCCTGGGGTGGGTCTGGGGGAGAGAGGGAGAGCCGTGTGGATCCTAACCCGGTGAGCCTGGGCTCAGTCTGCGCCCCTCCACCCACCCGGGCCGCCCCGCGCCCCTGCCCCACGTGCCCAGCACCATCCTCAGGGCTTTAATGACCCCACTCTGTCCAGAGGTGGGGGCTAAACCGTGGTGCAGAAAGCAAGGCCTTGCCCAGGTGCCCAGACCTCGGTTTCTCCCTGGGGAACCCCTGGACCCCGAGGCCTGCCCAGGCGCACTGGCTCGGCCCTCTGGCTGAGTCTTGGCACAGGAACGCCCCACCCCCTGAGGCCTCTCCCCACATCCCCCTGCCGTTCACCAAAGGGGCTCAGGCCCCTCACCTTCCCCAGGGAGCTCCTCCAGATGTCCCTGGCCTCCTGGAGTCTCGTGGTCCACTCCCTCTGCCATTGGACCAGGGTTATTTGTCTAGTCTTCATCGTCCACGGTCTGCACGCTCCTCCAGAGCACAGGCCTTCTATTTCACTTCTGAATCCCCAGGGCCCGGCATGCAGTAGTGTTTGCTGAATGACTGTCTGATGAGATGATTGAGAACACAATCAGGTCCCAGATACATGGGGTGTATTGTGCTGAATGGTGGCACCTAAAAGATATGCCTGTGCTCTGGAGGCTGTGCGTGTGACCTGATTTGGAAAAAGGGTCTTTGCAGGTGTAATTCAGTTAAAGATCTCAAGATGAGATACCCTGGATTATCTGAGTGGGCCTAAAGCCAATGACAATGTCCTTTTAAGAAAAGGAGAGGACACAGACACAGGAAGAGGCTGTGTGATGATGGGGCCTGGAGGGACATGTCCACAAGCCAAGGAACAGCTGGAGCCCCCAGGAGCTGGAGGAGGCAGGAAGGACCCTCCCCTGGAGCCTCCGGAGGGAGCACGGCCCTGCGACACCTGGATTTCGGACTTCCGGCCTCCAGACCAGGAGAGAAGACATTTCTGCTGTTTTAAGCCAGCGAGTCTGTGGCGATTTGTTACGGCAGACGGGAGGTTCACACATGTGGGAAATCATGCCACTGTCCTTTTTCTCGCTTTTCAGGAATCCGTGTCTTCATTCATTCACTCCCTCATTCATTCCCTCAGCAGCTCCTGTCCAGGGCAGGGTCAGAGTCAGGGTGGGGGTGGGGAGGCAGCATGACATTGCAGACTTTGAGATGACACACACTCGGGGCCCTGTCACTTGCCAGCAGTAACGTTTTTGAGCCACTTGCTCCACCTGCCTGAGCCCAGGTCCTGCCCTGTGCAGAGGATGATGGTGACACCCCTTGGAGTTGGCTGTGAGGCCCGGCACCTGCGGCAGGGCCCTGCTCACAGTGAGCCGCGGTGGCGGCATGAACACTGCCCGAGACGTGGGCCAGCTCTGAGCTCCTCAGCCACAATCCTGGCTCCCTTTCCCCTGGGCCCGTGCTGAGAGGCTGGCCACTCGGCAGCTCAAGCATTTACTGAACACCACTTGCGGCCTGCTGCAGGAGGTGACACGGTCAGGAGACAGACTGATGGAGACCACGTGGAGAAGAAGCCGTTGGGGCCCATCAGGTGTCCAACAGGTAAGGTCTGACGGGGGAGGTTCTGGTCGTTGAAGGTGTTTCACTGAAAGCAGCTGTTCTCTAGAGGGGTCCTCGGACCAGCAGCCTCAGCGTCACCTGGGAGCTGGTTAGACATGCAGATTCTCAGACCCATCCCAGACCTACAGAATCAGCAACGCTGGGGCTGGGGATGGGGATGGGGCTGGGGCGCGGCTTCCGTGTTTTAACACAGCCTTGGGTGCCGGGAATAAACAGGCCCACCTCTGAATTCAAGATCTGACCTTCATGGGCCTGCATTTTCTGGGATGGGACCATTTCTGATACTCTGCCGTCTGAGCCGACAACGTATCAGGTCGGGGAGGCGGTGTCCACTCAGTGTGGTCCGGGGACCAGCAGCGCCTGCCTCCCCGGAGCTTGTGAGCAATGTGGACTCTCGGCCCGGCCCAAGATGGACTGAGTCGGAATCTGCATTTTAACAAGACCCCCAGCCGACCCGTGTGCACGTAGTTTGGGGAGCATCTCGGTGAAGCCCCTGCTGACTGCCTGTGCCTTTGCACGCAGGCGTCTAAACTCCCTGCAGCCCCCTGCAAGGTGGGCGTACAGACCCCCTTTTGCAGATGGGAAACTAAGCTCGGCAAGGCCACACACTGTTGGCAAGTGACAGACTCTGAGCTCCAAGCTCTGTCCACGTGCCCACTCTCAGACTGGGGACCTCAGAGAGGCATCCGAGGGAGGAGGACTTGGAGACACTGACCCCCGGCCCTGTGGCGAGAGCAGGGGCAGGCTGCCCCCTGGATCTCTCCTGCTGAGCTTCCGCTAACCCTTGGGTGGCAGCCGGGAAGCCCCGCCCCCAGAGTCTTAAGACTCCCTGTCTCAGGCCAGAAGTCTCAGAAGCTGCAAGTGCTTGGGACAGGTGGTCCTGACCACTTGTCCCTGTCCCCCTAGGACTTGGGACATGACCCGGACACCCACTCTCTAGGGCTCTCTGAATTCATGACTCCTTTACTCACCCTCACAGACCTCGAATCTTCTTTCTTCCACCCCTCCAGGCCCCCAAAATGCAGCTGAACCACCTGGAGTGAGCACCCCTGTCCCTGACGGCCGAGGGCTGTCTGTCGCCTTGAAGTCTGGATTCGGCGGTAGGACTGGGGGCTGGGGCAGGGTGCCCGAGGGCGGTGATGGGCAGGAAGGAGTTGGAGGTCAGAGGAGAGGGGATGAGGAGGAGGGCCAGCCTGCCTTAGGGTTGAGTGGGAGGGCAGGAGGTGAAGACAAAAGGGGTAGAAGCTAGAGGGGGAGGGGCAACGTTTCTTGAGGGGAAATGGGTGAGGACCAGAAGTTAGGGGGTAAATGGGAGCAGAGGCGCAGGAAGAGGTAGGTGGCTTGGGGACATTGAGACAGATGCCTGGGCTCTGACTGCACTGGGAGCGACCTGTCACAGCTCTCGAATAAGAAAGTGCGAAGTCTGCTCCCCCTCTCGCCCCCCTGCTGCTTCCAGCCATGGAGGGACAGAGCCCGGGAAGCAGAGACCCCTCGGAAAAGCCCATCCCCGCGGCCGCCCGCCCCGGTCTGTCCTCCCTGGGTGCCGTCTTCATCCTCCTGAAATCCGCACTGGGGGCCGGCCTGCTCAACTTCCCCTGGGCCTTCCACAAGGCAGGGGGGGTGGCCCCCGCCTTCCTGATAGAGCTGGTAAGCCCCTGGGGAAGACTTTTGGGGGTCTCCTGGGACAGGAGCCAGCAGGAGTCTCGGCAATGCTTCTGCAGAGCTGCTGTCTTAGAAACTATGGATGTGGGATTTGACTTTCTGTCCCGCTCAGCTCACGAGGGGAGAAGATAAGGCCACCGTAGGCCCAGGCAGGGGACAGCCTCTACACCGCTGAGGTCTGGCACAGCGAGGCGAGGGGAGGCCGAGGCGCAGCAGAACCCTGCCGTTCACGGGCCACCTGGGTCCAGGGAGCCTGGCATTTCAGCGGGGAAGGCGCCGTCTCTGAGCAACCGCCTGGCCAGCTGACACAGCTCGATAACTAAAGCTTAAATCTGTGTGCAGAGGAGATCAGGAGCGGGACTGGCTGTGACACCTCACATCGAGCTGGGCCAGGCCCTCTGCGGTGTTGCGGTGTTGCAGGTTCGGCCACTTCTGCTGGCCGCAGGTCGAGCCTGAATTCCCTTCCCAGACAGTCCTGGGGCTGAACCTCCTTAGTGGAGCAGAGCCGCTGGGGAGCCGGGCTTCATTTAATTTGCAAAGATTCCTTTTCCTCAAGCTGCTAGGAACCGCTGCGTTGTAGGGCAAGCTGTTTGACAGGCATGATCTCAAATGCTTTGTTATGGCAGCCAGCTGCTAATGGCCGCGTTGTAACCATTTGTGGGCCATGGGGCCTTTTGTGTCCTTTTGGAAACTGCCGAATCCCGTCCTGTGTAGCGTCCGGTGTAACCCGTGCCCCCTGGAGTGCTGGCCGGGCGCCGGCTCTGGCGTTGGATGGCTGAGACAGTGCGGTCTCTGTCCTCAGGAAGCCTCTTCTCATGGGGAGTGCAGACAAGTACAAGGAGTCCTGTGGTGGGTAGTGCTAGGAGGGTCATGTGACAGAAAGGCGGGACAACATGACACGGGGTGGTCAGAGAAGGCCTCTCTGAGGAGGTGACACTGAGCGGAGCCCCAGCAGAAATGGGAGAACTTGCACAGACCTGGCACTGCTCATCAGGCCACACTGAGGCGGCATCCCACATGCCCCAACGAGAAGGACCCACAACTGAAATATACAGCTATGTACCGGGGGGCTTTGGGGAGAAAAAGGAAAAAGAAAATCTTTAAAAAAGAAAGAGAGAAATAGGAGAACTTGTCTAGGTACATGTGAGGGGCAACCTGGCTGTTTGGACTCGTGCAGCAGACAGGCTGCCCTTCCAGACAGTGGGGGAGACGCTCCATCTCCAGCCACAAAGGGTTAATGGTACAGCGGGTGTGTGGTGGGGAGGCGTATTGTGGTCAGGCCAAGGATAGCAGGCAGGCCCTGAGGCAGAGATGGATCCCCGCTCCTCACACTTTGTGCAGCGTCTCCTGGGTGCCTTGCAGAAAGGCAGAAGCTGATTCAGGAGGTCTGGGTGGGCCTGAGATGGTGCATCTCTGACGAGCTCCTGGGTGGCACGGATGCTGCTGGCGTGGCTTGCGCTTTGTGTGGGGTAGTCCAAAGACCCCTGCCTTGAGGGCGCCCGAACATGAATAAATGGAAACCCCCGACAGAGGAAGGGGTCAGGCTGGTAATCGGCAACCCCGTCCTCCTGCCTCTCCTCTCCTCTCCGCCCCTGCCCCCTTTACAGGGCCCAGACGCGCGCAGGGGAGCATGGAAACATTCCCACCACTGGGAGGGCGGTGGTGTGGGGCTGTAGGTCTCCATGACCCTTTAGCTCGGAGGCTCAGGGTGCTTCAGGCACACGGCCCCCTGGTCCTCTGACCCCACGCCCTGCCCTTCCTTTGGTCCACGAGTATTGCCTAAGAGCCTGCTGTGTGCCAGGCACTTGTCCGAGGGCTAAATGATAAGCAAAGAAAGACACAATCCCGGTCTTCATGGAGCTTAGAGTCTGGCGGGTGAGAGAGCCGTGGGAGCCCCATATATGTGTACAGTCGTAAGTGTGAGTCCTGGGGCTGCTGGACCAACCGACCACGACCGGGCAGCGTAAAACAGCGGCAGCTTCCCCTCCCATGCTGCTAGACACCGAAGTCCGAAACCCAGGTGTCACAGGGCCGCGCTCCCTCTTGGAGGCATGGCGGGGGTCCTTCCTGCCTCTCCCAGCTCCTGGGGGCTCCAGGCGTCCCCGGGCTTGTGGCCACGTCCCTCCATCTCTGCCCCATGGTCACACAGCCTTCTCCTCCGCTGTGTCCTTTAAGGCCACTTGTCATTGGATTTAGGGCTCACTTAGATAATCCGGGATGACCTCATCTCAAGGTCCTTAATTGCACCTGCAAAGACCCTTTTTCATTTAATTACATCTCTGCTATTTGCATCTGCAAAGACCGTTCCCAGTAAGTCACTTTCACGAGTTCTGGAGGTCAGGATGTGGACATAGCTCCTGGGGGTCCACCGTTCAACCCTCCGCAGGCACAGGTGTCCCCACGAAGGCACGATTCTATCAGCCTGAGACAGAGGGTGCAGCCCACCTCGGGGGTGAGGTGTCAGGGGAGGCTGTCTGCAGGAAGTGACCTGGAAGAGGAGGGGGAGAAGAGCAGGAGTTCCCCGGAAGAAGGGGGTGTGGAGGGGGAGGCGTTCCAGGCAGAGGAACCGGCATGGGCAAAGGTCGGGTGGCCCGAGGGAGCGTGGTGTTCCTTCTGACTCGGAGCTTTCAAATTCCTCTTACGTGGTTCAGTGAGATGCTCCTCTTGGCAGCTCTAGTTCTGGCTTCTGGAGTAAGACAGAGCGAATCCGCTCGTCCAGGGGCATGAACAGCGTCTGAAGAGCGCCGCCCCAGCCTGCCCCAGGCTTCCTGGCTGAGCGTCTCCCAGCATGCACTGTTCTCCTCCACAGGAACGCGGGAGGGGAGTTCGGCCTGGAGACCAAGCCTAGCTTGCGGACAGGTAGCCGTCAGTCCTGGAGAGGCTCAAAAACATTTAACTCTGTGGAGAAGCGGGGCTCACTGCATGGATGGGGGAGTGCCCAGTGGCACAGACCCTTTAGAGAGCAGTGTGGCGATTTCTTATAGAGTTAAACACACGTCTGCCCTACACCCCAGCACTTCCATCCTAGGTGTGTGTCCAGGACAATGAAACGTATGTCCTCAGAGTGACTTGCTCTAGAATGCTCGGCACTTTATTTGTAGTGGCCAAAAACTGAGAACAGCCCAGATGTCTGTCAGCAGGGGAATGGATGCACCGATTGTGGTGGTAGCCACACAATGGAAGAGCGCTCAGCCAAAACAGGATAAACTCCTGGTGCGCCGATCACACAAATGTTACAGTGAGCGGAAGAAGCAAGATAAGAAAATACATAAAAGTGGAAAAATATTGGGTCAGTGGTTTCTTCTGGGTTTCTGATGCCTCATTTGTCCCACTGGGGCAGAATCGTGTGAACCCCAGACTCAGAGACTTCCAGCCAGCGAGGCCTCCAGGATGCCCCTGCTCTGCAGCTCTGGTTTCAGGGCGGGGGAGGGGCTAATGGCAGGTCAGCTAGAGGCCCCCAGGCTGTAGGCAGCCGTGGCCTCTGCAGGTGAGAGGCCCTGGAGAGTGGTCTCAGAGGCCCGAGGGGTGGCTGGCTCGGGCGGCGGGCTGTGGGCGTCCCTGGCCCCATGGTGCTGCTCCACAGGTTTCCTTGGTCTTCCTGATCAGCGGGCTGGTCATCCTGGGCTATGCAGCCTCCACCAGCGGCCAGACCACCTACCAGGGCGTGGTTGGAGGGCTGTGTGGCCCCGCCATGGGGAAGCTGTGTGAGGCCTGCTTCATGGTCAACCTGCTCATGATCTCCGTGGCCTTCCTCAGGGTGATCGGGGACCAGCTGGAGAAGTGTAAGTAGCTGCGCAGAGCCCCTTATGACCCCTGGGGCTCCTGGCTGATGAACAGGCCATGGACTCTGGGCTGGGCCCGGGCAGGACAGCAGAGACTGAGGCCACCCACGAGCTCCTAACACCATGGGGAAGGGAGTCTTGGATTAGTCAGTACCAGCATATTGAGAGTCAGAGAGAGAGAAGGGGGCTGAGGCTGGGATGCCTAGTGGGGTCAACCCCTTTTACAGATGGGGAATGGAGCCTCCCTCAAAGACGCCCCTACGGAGAGAGAACCAATAAAGCCAGCAATCTGGGGGCATCAGAGACTCAGCCCCATGCACCTGTGGCCTCTTGTCCCCCAACTAACAATTTCCCTCTAAGCACTACTTTAGCTGCATCCGACCAGTTTTCATATGTTCTATTTTCATTTTTGTTCCATTCAAAACATTTGCTGTCATTTCTTCTTTGACTCATGGATGTTTAGAATTGTGCAGTTTAATTTCCAATTATTTGGGAGTTTTGTAGATACCCTTTTGGTTTCTACCTTAATTGCATCATGATCAGATTTCATAGTCAGTGTGATGTCAATCTTTGGGCCTTTGAGACTCACTCCACGGCCGCCACATGGTCTGTCTTGCTGAGCATTCCATGTGCTTGTAAAGGATGTATATTCTGCAGTTGTTGGGTGCAGTGTTCCAGAACTCTCCATCAGGTCATGGTGGTCCACAGCTTTGATCAGATCTTCCACAGCCTTACCGATTTTTCTTTTTTTTTTTGGTCTCGTTTTTCTATCAGTTTCTGAGAGAGGGGATGTTAAAATCTCCAACTATGATTGCAGACTTGTCTATTTTGCCCGTTAATTCTGTCCATTTTGCCTCATGGTTTTTGAAGCTCTGTTGTTAGGCACACGCCTGTGAATCACCCTCTGATTGTTGTGAGACACCGCTTTCTGTCTCTGCTGATACTTTGTCATGCAATCGACCTTCTCTGCTGTGAGTCCAGCCACTCAGCTTCCTTACGATGAGTGTTTGTGCAATATTCCTCTTTCCACTCTTTTACTCTGAACCCAAGTGCGACTTGGGATTTTCAAATGCATTTCTTGTACACAGCATATGGTCAGGTCTTGCTTTTTTACCATCTTGACAATCTCAGACTTTTAATTGGAATGTTTAGACGTCTAACCGGAATGTCATTACTGACACAATTGGATCTCCATCTACCATCTTGCTATCCTTTTGTTTGTTCTCTCTGTCTCTTGAACCGTGAATGAAAAGGCCCCTGGTGTTGGGATATTGACATGAAAGGTTTCTACATCTTGGGAAGCACTCTTATTCCCAAAAGCATCAAGGTTGGTGAATCTGAATCTCCCGGTGGGTAAATGGGTGAAAAACACCCTGCCAGCCAGTGGCAAGCAGAGGTCATGTCACGTTTCCGCTCTGGTCATTTGGTAGTGTTGCTGTGTTGAGAAGGATTCTGAGGCTGTGTGCAGGCTCAGTCGTTGAGTGCTTGGAGTGATCAGAACATTGGTTAGGGTACAGGCCACCCGGCTCGGAGTGGATGGACTGGGGTGGAGAGAGCATTGTTTGTGTGTCTGGTTAGGTATTTGGGGATGTGTCTTTCTGTAGGCAAGTCCAAGCTCAGGAGGAGGGTTAGATAGAGTCTGGGTGCTTGGGGGTGTCCTTGCATTTGTTGGGTACAAATGACTTGACTATAAGTGACTGGTGCTGAGTATCAAGGAATGTTCTAGAAAGTGCGGGTTCAGGAAGGAGCAGGTGTAGCCGTGATGTCAGAGCTGGGGTTTCCTTGCTGCAGGAGATCCAGATGGGTAAGCAGGGCTTGCAGCCCATCCCATGCTGCATGGGGCCTGGCACTCACGGAGATCTCTGTGCACCCTGGGGTGCATGCGTTCTCTTGGCATCTCTGGCCCAAAACGTCTGCTTCGCCCTCCCACCTGGGTGCCTGTGTACAACAACCTCAATGTGCAACTCTTCCCTTGCGTCATTTCAGTAGAAACAAGCCATTCTCATAAAGCATGTGTTTCTTGCATGGCTGGCTTCATTGAGTATTTGGTGAGAACAAAGAGGAGTTAGGTTACCACAGTGCCAGCCCCCCAACGTGGACCAAGACCCCGCTCTCAGCGCCTCCCACCCCTGGCGGGGCCGTGGGAAACCCCTCACCCCACGTGCTTCCAGCCTCAAGCTGTCTTGCTGTCTCTCCTTTGCTCTCCCCTCCTCCATCTGTCTTGCCTCTTATATCAACTCCAAATTCTCCACCTTACTGTCGCGGAATAAAAATGATCTCAAGTTCTTTGCTGTTCCTTCCACTGAGAGGTTGATGGGGTCTGTGTTCCCGCCCCTTGAATCGACGTGAGCTCTGTGACGGCTGACCCAGCAGAGTTTGGCAGATGTGACACCGTGCCAGTTCCAGGCCATGTCTTTTAGAGGACAGGCAGCTTCCACCTTGGTCTCCAGGAGTCCCCGGCTGCCATGGACTAGCCTGCGGAGAGACCCCGAGACTGCAGGGAGGGCTCAGCTGAGCCCAGTTGTCCCCACCAGGAGCCTGGTGTGGCTGGAGCCGTTGAGCACCCTCCAGACCGGCTCTCCTGCCAGCCAAATGCCCGCAAGTGACCACAGCCGCTCCCCTCTGGAGAGAAGTGGCCAGCTCCGCCCTACCCTACTTCTTCACCTACAGTTTGTGGCAATAATATAGCGGTTGCTCTAGGCCACTGTTGGGGGGAAATGTATTGTGCAGCTGCCACAGAGGACGGCGGCCCAGGTGCAGAGCAGCTCGCCTCTCCCCAGCACCAAAAATCCACGCCAGGCGCTGGCCCGACCCCAAACGCCCCGTGAGCCCCTGAGCAGAAACAGAAAGGATCCTTTACAAGAGCCTAGGGGCCTGGGCTGGGGGGCGGGCCGTTTGTCTCTGCTCGTCGCTGGGTTCCAGCCCTCGGAGCTGTGCCCCGCTGGCAGAAGGAGCTCTGTGCACTTCTATTGAATGAGTTTGTGTGGTGGGACTCCTTCCTCCAGGGTGGCACGTGACAGCGTCCCCATCACACTTGTCATCCCATCCTTTCAGGGTCACGAGGCTGACTTAATGCCCATGGTGAACCCCACCCAGGGCCTGAGAGCCGGGGACCCAGGCCGAGGCTGTGACCACTGGGTGAGGCTGTGCAGGGCTCACGGCTGTTCCTTTGCCCCCTTCCCGCCAGTGTGTGACTTCCTCCTGCCCGGCGCTCCGCCCGCCCCGCAGCCCTGGTACGTGGACCAGCGCTTCACCCTGACCCTGCTGTCTGTGCTGGTCATCCTGCCGCTGTCCGCGCCGCGGGAGATCGGGTTCCAGAAATACACAAGGTACGGGCCGCACGTGCTGCCTGGCAGGGTCCCCACCCGCGCCACGTCTGCGTTGGGGCTTCTGTCTGCCTGGGATGGGGGAGCTGCCAGCACTGCTCTTCCCCTTTGGAGAAGGGGAAGAAAATGAAAAATTACACAAGCAATCCATATGTGTGATAGAAAATATAGATCAAAAAGAAAAGCGCCCGTGATGACATGCCTGCTGCTGACTCTGTTATTTATCGCAGACTTTTTATGCACACACGTGTACACACAGACACGGAGAGAGAGGCACAGACGCACACAGACCTCTTCATTTTATGGTCTAAGGCTTCATGTGTGCTTTTGCAAAAATAAAGTCTGGCAACGTATTCATACAAGTTTGCCACATGCCTTTCCCTGTTGTGTCGTGAACAACAGTAGACTTCTCATCTTGGAAATAGAACAGAGAAACAGTTGGAAGGAACGCAACAAAGCTGACCTCTGGGCCGGAGGATGGCCCTGCTCGAAATGGTCTTCCCGCTGTCCCTCTCGTACAGATAAAGACATGGAGGCTCAGAGCGGTGACAACTTTGCCCTACACCTCGCTGGTGTGGGCAGAGCTGCCACTCAGACCCCACTCTGTGTGGCTCCCGGCCCTCCCTGGTGGGGCCGGTGTCCCCGTGTGTCTGCGGTCACTCGCCGCGGAGGCCCCCCTGACGCTGTGCACCGTCTGTGTTAGCATCCTAGGCACCCTGGCCGCCTGCTACTTGGCCCTGGTCATCGTGGTGCAGTACTACCTCTGGCCCCAGGGCCTCGCTCGTGAGCCCCGGCCTGCACAGAGGTGAGTCTGAGGGGATGGCTTTGCGTGGCTTCCTGGGTGGGCCTCACGGGGGTCCTTGGAGGAGGGAGCTTCTCCTCCCCTCTGTGGTTTGCACAGAGCTCCCCACCTCCAGCCCCACCCCCCATGAAGTCCTCCCGTCTCTGATGCGGTGGAGCCCAGCGAAGGCCCCTTGCGACCTTCAGGACGAACACGGCTATTGCTAGCAAGGACCAGGGACAGCCCAAGGGACATGAAAACACTAGACGCCACAGCGGCCTGGGACTCCTAGGCTGTTGCAGATGTCTCCTCCACAGGTGGAGGCAGCAGAGCTGGCCAGCAAGGTGCAGGTGCCTGGGCGTAGGGAACAGGGATGCGCGGAGGCCAGTGTGGCCGGACCAGCCTGAGCCAGGCCAGAGTCGGGTGGGGATGGGGGTGCCCCGTGCGGACACGGAGATGTGGTGAGGACTATGGTTTTGCTGAGAAGCCACCGCAGGGTTTTTAGCACAGCAGAGGCTTGAGTCGGATCTGCTGGTGGCAGGGCCAGCTCTGTGCACATGTGACCTGTGCAGCCACCAGGGCCCTGTGCCCAGAAGGGCCCCTCCCTCGGTTTAATGCCCTGCTGCTGCCATCCTGAAATTCTTAATCTCTTAGTTCTGGAAACCAGAAGTCCCAGATCGAGGTGTTGGCAGGGCGGTGCTCCCTCTGAAGGCTCCAGGCGAGGGTCCTTCCTGCCTCTTCCCGCTTCCGGTGGTTGCCAGCAATCGTTGGCATCCTTGGCATGTAGACGCCTCACTCCAGCCGCTGCCTCCGTGGTCACATGGGCTTCTCCCTGCGTGTCGGCTTTCTCTTGCTATAAAGACACCAGTCAGTGAATTAGCCCCCAACCCACTCCAGTGCACCCTCATCTTAATTTAACTTAGTATGTCCACAAAGACCCTGTTTCCAGATAAGGCTTCATTCTGAGGCTCCCAGTGGAGGTAGATTTTGAGGAACACTGTTCCACCCAGGATAGAGGATGACAGAAGGTGGGTCTCAGAAGTCGGTGAACAAAACTTCAAGAAGCTTGTGTGATCGCCACCAAATGCTGCTCCTGGGTCTTGAGGAGCAGAGTCCGGGTGTTGGACCTGGCTGTGGAGGCCGCTGGTCGGGGTGGGAGAGGGGCAGAGGCCCCGGGGGGATCGGGTTCAGGAGAGAGGAGAGGAGAGGAAATGGGAGAGTTCTTCTGAGGAGGGCAGGACAGGCACGGACAGCAGCTACGCGGGGACAGAGGCCACAGCACATGTTTATGCTGACGGAGTCATCCCATAGGGAAGGAAAGCCAGTGAGGAGAGGACCACATCCACTGCTGATCTGCGGCCTTGAGTCGGGGGGAGGGGAGGGTCCTGCTATCTGGAGGCGTGGCCTGAGGCCGAAGCGCGGATGGTCTCATTCGTAGGAACAGGAGGGGACATCTCCCGTGGGCCCAGAGGATGCTGGCAGGCAGACGGAGCAGTGGAAACGTGGGCACTTTGCTTCTGGCTGCGATAGGAAGCCAGGCTGTCAGCTGGCAGTGCCGTTGAGGAAAGTCAGGGATGGCGGAGCTTGGCTACGAGCCCCGGTGAGCAGCATCCAGAGTTAGAGTCGGCCAGAACCCCACACAGAGTGGGAGACACCACTGTGTTAGTATCCTATATGGCTGCTGTGGCAAATTACCGCCAACGTGGTGGCTTAAAACAACACAGATTTGTTATCTTGCAGTTCAGGAGGTCGGAAGTCCAACCTGAAGCCCACTGGGCTAAAATCAAGGGGTCAGTAGGGCTGGGTTCCTTTTGGAAGCTCCAGGCAAGAATCCGTTTCCTTGCCTTTTCCAGCTTCTAGAGGCACCTGCATTCCTCAGCTTGTGGCCCCTTCCGCCCTCTCCAAAGCCAGCGATGTCCCCTGTCTCTGACCCAGCTTCCATAGTCACGGCTCCCTCTGATCACGGCCAGGAAAGGTCCTCTGATTTCAAGCATTCGTGGGATAGATTGGGCCCAGGTAATCTAGGACACTCTCCCCGTCTCAAAGTCCTAGATCACATCTGCAGAGTCCTTTTTGTCATGTAAAGTAACATATTCAGATTTCCCAGAATTAGGACATGGACCTCTCGGGGGCCATTATTCTGCCACAACCAGGAAACCCTGATTCTACAGCAGGGGCTCTTTATGCCCCACTCCACTATATGTCTCCAAAGGCTGGCACCTGTCACTGTTCATCAAAGGAAGTTGAGGGCCACCAGGTGGGGACCACTGAGAGGGATTGACCTGAAGATTCTGCCCCGCGCACACCTCAGTCCTCTTAGGCAGCTTGGATGCAGGTCAAACCATCCTTGCACCATGGGGGACCTGTTTGGATGGATGCTGCCTGTGCTCCCAGCTCCTAGCCTCTTGGGGAACGGGCAGCACCAGAGGGAGGTTAGAAGTTCCTTTTAGCCGTGCCCTGCCCAAGTGCTGCCTGCGTGGAGAAGGTCAGGTTGCCAATGTCAGCACAGATGTATTTAGAAAGAGCTGCATTTAACGTGCATCCTCTTCCATCACCCCAGACCTGGTAGGAGATGTGGTAATTAAAAATACGTCTCACACTCGTGCTTAGTTACATCTTGCTGATCTTGTTTAAAACTCATCTTCAAGCTGAAGGTTGTTTTGAGCTTAACCTTTTGTAATAAACATCTGTTCTTGTCTATTTACAGCCCTTCCTCTTGGACCTCCGTATTTAGTGTCTTCCCCACCATCTGCTTCGGATTTCAGGTAATTTAGCGTCTGTATAGAAGAGTGTGGCCTCTGCAGGCTGTGGTGACTCCCTGCTCCCTTGGGAGCGTGTGGCCTCCCCGTCAGGAGAGATGGTGAAGACTCATTCTAGGATGAGACGGGCTTTCTTCTGGAGACCGTGCCTGTGGGTTGGCGTCTGGGCTCAGTGAGGGGGTAATTGCCCCTGAGCTTGGGAACCTGGCCCCCACCGACCACCAACAGCAGCAGCACATTTGTGGGGTCTGGGGTAGAGTGTGGGGATCCAGGACTTGTCCTTTCCTCTGCAAAATCCTCGCAGGACCGTCGCCATCACTGGAAACCTAGAGCCACCCGCTTACGCAGAGTGCCTTTAGCAGGTGGCTTCTGCCCCTGGGGCCTTGGAGAGGAAAGATCCTGCCTCCGGAGGCTTGCAGGCTGGGAGGGCTGGGGTGAGTGCAGGCGGCTGCATGGTGGCGGGTACAGGGCAGAATATGCAGAATTGCTGATAGGGTGTCACGGAGGGAGGACAGGTTCTGTGTGTGGGCCTCTGCTCTAGCCCTGGGTGGGGCAGACTCAGAGAACCCCCTTTTCAGGCTCTGACACCTGAAAGGAATCTGAAAGAATGTGTGGGGGTGGCCAGGGGAAGGGGAGGGCGTTCCAGCTAGAGAGGACGGCACAGGCGAGCCACGGAGGGCAGAGGGTCCCGGCCCGGTGGGTGAGCTGCAAGGGGCGCTCCCCGTGGGGCCAGAGGGGTGCTCTGGGGGCACAGCTCTGTCCTCTGCCTTTTTGTCCCTCTTGGGGTTTTCCAGTCTCCGAGCAGGTGGCAGCTGACTCCATCCTTTCTTTGTTTATTTTGGGAAAGATTTGCCTCTCTCCTAAGATCAACCACCTCCTCACCACACCGCCACCAAAATGGCCCCGAGTCAAAATCAGGTTCGCAAGGGAAGGTGGTTCAGGACCGACCACAATATCTCAGCTTCCTACTCTTAATTTTCCCTTCCCTTATCCATCCACTAGCCCGTTTCCGTTCTTCATCTCACAATTTCTTTGAGATCCAGTTTTGAAAAAACATCCTGAGACATTTCCATTTCTCATCCTCATAAATGAGTCAATGTATCGCTTCTGGGGCTCAGCAAGCCGCTTCTAGGAGTTTCTCACATTTCCTCCTGCATATCCAATATTTTGAAAGATCTAAAGCAATGGTTTTGCTGTCAGCTGTTTGTCTGGGTGTAGTTTACCCATCGCTCCCTCCCATGCCTGAGCGCCATATGGTGCGGCAGGCTCGCGCTGTGGGGGGGCTGCTTTCAAGACGCTTACGAGGGGGTGCCCCCTCACCTTTGCCTCGGCCCCCTCATCCAGTTCTCCTAGCAACCGAGGCCGGGCTGCGGTTTCCAGGGACACGGGATGCGGTGATGGGGAGTTGGAAAAGATGTGAGTTGCGGGGGTGGGAGCGGGGCTGAGGACTGGTTACCGCTCAGACCAGAGGTGATGCTGCCAGGTTCTGGCTTGGAGAGTCGAGTATCCGGGGGTGGGGGAGGACCATGAAGATGATGGGAAGCAGAGCGCGGAGTGGGAGCAAGGCTGGAGGGGTGCGCTGGAAAGGGGAGGCCACCCGTTGCCACCAGGAGCTCTGGTCTGGTTCAGACACCACCCCTCGCCCGACACATTTAGCAACAGGGCACCCCCTTCAGCCTTCGCATCGTCGGTAGGAGGGGCCTGCGAGGAGCAGACGTGGGAAGCGGGCTCGGCTCCCAGCCAGCCCGGCCGCACTCGGTACCTCTCTGTTGTCATTGTTTTTAAACAGCTTTATGGAGATATAACTCACACAGCGCAAAATTCACTCACCTAAAGTGTATATAATTCAGCGGTTTTTAGTATGTTGACAGGGTCATCCAACTGTCTCCACAGTCAATTTTAGACCTTTTTCATCACCCCAAAAAGAAACTTACGGCCGTTGGCAGTCACTCCTCATCCCTCCCCCGGCCCCTGGCTACCACAAATCTACTTTCCATCTCTGTGGATGTGCCTGTCCCGGACATTTCATGTGCATGGGATCCTAGAGCCTGTGGTCCTTTGTGACTGGCTTCTTTCACTCAGCCTGTCTCTGGGGTTCGTCCACATTGCAGCGTGTCAGGACGTCATTCCTTTCTATGGCCGAATAATAGGTGGATGGACCCTGTTTCTTTGTTGATCAGCTGGTGGACACTTGGGCTGTCTCCACTTCTCAGCCATCATGTGCTCCTCTGCCTCGCGCCCCATCCCTGAGTGAACAGCGAGCCTGCACGCGGCTGGCCCCCGACTGAGGCACTGCCCCAGCAGAGCAGCCCCGCCCCGGGAGACGGGCTTTATTTCCCTGCATAAAACCGACAGAGAGACGACTCGGAGTCTTAAGATACTCAGAGGAAGGATGGCAGGGCACCATCCCGCCACCACCAGGCACCCTCTCCCCGTGCGTGGGCTCGGGAGTACAGGAGGGAGGTGGGAGCCTCGACCCTCGGAGGTCCGCTGCCCGGTGGTCGAGGGTCCCTGGGGGATTAAGCCCCCACCCCCTGGCTGAGCTGGCCTGCAGGCCAGTGGGCTCCTGTGAAGTCTGAGAAGTCCCGGGGCAGGAAGCCGAAGATGCACAGGCGCCCTGAGGCTGGTCTGTGTGCGAGCTCACCCTGGGCTGGCCGCCACCACCGCTGGGATCAGGAACACTGAGGCCGATGCCCCCAAGCCCTCCCTAATGTGTGCTCCGTGAGGCTGGGGCCTGGCCATGGGGTATCCCAGACTTGCACTGAGTAGGACTGCTAAGCGTTTGAGTAGCGGAGAGCCAGGTTGGGTGGAGGGAGGCCTCGTGGCTGCCGGGGGGTTAAAGGAACTGGTGAATGAGTAATCTGTGGAGTGCTCCATGCTTGGCATGAGCTCTGAGGCAGACGTGGTCCTTGCCATCGGGTAGCTGACAGATGCTGAACAAGCAAATCCAAATGTGCTCACACGGGGGCATGGGGACGCAGGAGAGAACTTGGCCCAGCTGAGGAGGGCGTTCCAAAGGATGAGTAGGGGCTGGCTGAACTACGAGAGAATCCTAGGCAGAGGAACAGTATGAGCAAAGGCCCTGAGGCAGCGAAGAGGGACAGAGGTGGACCAAGCTCCGCGAGTGAGGGGAGAGTGGCTCTTGAGGAGCCTGGAGAGTGGGCAGAAGTAGACGATCAACACGTTTGGTTTTGATCAGAAGTGAGCAAGTGGGCGTGATGGCGGGAACCCTGTTCCAGGAGCCCAGGAAGATGCCGGCACCCATAGGGAGCATCGAGATACGGCAGCGCCTCTCAATCCTGACTGCACAACAGGGTCTCTGGGGCTGCTTAAGAAACAGCGCTGCCCAGGACCTGCCCCAGACAAAGTTCACGGCACAGAGGAGCTCTGGGCATTGGCTGTATGTATTTTATATTTAAAAAGTCTTATGACCATATAACAGTACATGTAAAGTATATAAATCATAAGTTTGCGTACACCCACACAACATTCATCCCAATCAGGCTACAGAACATCGTCAGCACCCCCAGAAGGCTGCCTCTGGCCGTTTCCACTCAAGAGCACCCACCCCCCAACCACTGTTCTGCCTTCTGTCACCATAAATGGCAGTTCTCAACGGGGGGGGGGGGGGGGGGCCGGAGGGGGCGATTTTGCCCCCCAGGGGACATTTGACAATGTCTGGACACATTTTTGGTTGTCACAACTGGAGGGTGCTCTGGCGTCTAGTGGGTCCAGGCCAGGGATGCTGCTCAACACCCTAAATGCAGGGGACAGCCCCCAAATGTCACTAGTGTTGGCGTTGAGAATCCATGTCCTGGCTTGTCTGTCTTGTAGTTTGAACTTCAGGTACACGGAAACGTTCTTTCACGTCTGGCTTCTTTTGCTCAACATTGCAGCTGAGAGGTTCTTCCATGTTGAGTGTGTCATTGTGATCATCCTTTTTCAGTGCTGTGTAATATTCCACATATGAATAGCCAGCGATTTAACTTATGCTTTCTACTGTTGGTGGACCTCTGCATTGTTTCCATCTTTTGGGGTGTTGATACTTTTTAGATTGCTCCAGGTGATTCTAGCACCCAGCTGGCCTGAGTCCCACCGAGTCCCACCTCTGTCTTCTAGTGTCATGAAGCTGCTGTCTCCATCTACTGCAGCATGCGCAACCAGCGCCTCTCGCACTGGGCCCTGGTCTCCGTGCTGTCCTTGCTGGCCTGCTGCCTTGTCTACTCGCTGACAGGTGAGGCCCCTCCCAGGGCACCTAGAAGCTGGGCAGGGAGCGGCAGGAGAAATGGGAATGTAAACGGTGTTTATGGGGAGCTTAGCATGTGCTGGGCACAGAGTCTTCACTCATTTGATCCTTAAAACCTTGTAGGAAAGTGCCCACTTCATAGATGAGGAAACTGAGGCTCAGAGGGCTTCTCCGGCCTGTGCACGGTCTTCCAGCTAGATGTGACAAAGCTGAAACCCAAACCCTGGCCCGGCTCTGCAAAGCCCCTGCTCTTACATCCCCCCACCCCCTGCCTGCCCGCCGTCTGACGGGATGGCAATGATGATGGTCCTCGTAGCGTTTCATCTGGGTAGCAGTCGACAAAACGCTCTCGTGGATGCGATGGATTTGAACATTCACAAACCTGTGTGATAGTCAGAAGCATCTTCAAAGGGGACGAGTGTGGCTCAGAGAGGGGCTGTGACATGATCAAGGTCACACAGCACACCCGTGGCACAGCCCAGGTCCCAGGCTCAGGTTGACTTCTTCCCAGCCACGTTTCTCCAGCCTGGTGGCTCTTTCCTTTGTCCACCCACTGGAGCCTCTGACTCGGGAAGCCCTCGGGCTGCCCCAGATGTGTTGGGCGCCTTGGACGCCTGTGGTTACCATGGGTGACCTCTCTCCAGCAGAGGAGGTCCCTGTCTGTCTGCTGCCCGTGGGTCAGAGGGCTGTGACCTAGCACTTGAGAGTCACCTCCAGACAGTCTAGATCCAGGGCCAGCAGGGTCACGGGACCTCTCAGAAAGGGCCAGGAGGAGCCACAGCTCTTGGCCAGAGACGGTATCGGGACAGGGCAGGGGACCCGGATGCTGCGAGGCACCAGCACTACGAGCTATTTCAAAGAAGGATAAGCAACAGTTTTGCCTGAGAACAGTTTTGAATCAGAACAGAGTACTGTGTAGGCCGAGGACAGGAAAGCCTTGGGAAATGGTAGAACCAGAGAGCTCTTCTGGAACCTTCCGTCAGCACCTAGGGAAAACCTCGGAGGCGGTAGAAGCCCGATGCTGCCAGAGTGTCGCAGTTGAGGGGGATGCGGCATTTTTCCAGCCCTCCTGGCTTCCACCCTTCTTACCTCCCAGGCGTTTATGGCTTCCTGACCTTCGGGACGGAAGTTTCTGCCGACATCTTGATGTCCTACCCAGGCAACGACGTGGTCATCATCGTCGCCCGGGTCCTCTTTGCCGTCTCCATTGTTACCGTCTACCCCATCGTGCTCTTCCTGGGGAGGTGAGGCCTGGCTCAGTGGGGACGCTGACATTTATGGCCACTTAACTCGTGGCAGGCAGGGCGCTAGTGTGTGTGTTGCAGGGGCTGCCGCCATCTCACTCAAAGAGGGGGAGATGGAGGCGGAGGGTTTAGATGGTTTGCCCAGAGTCACCCAGTTAGTAAGTGTTGGGGGCTGGAGTGCCTCCTGAGCCCACACTTGACTGCTCGCCACGCGGCCCCTCGGTGTGGGTGGCACCTAAGGGCTGCGTCCCTGGGGAGTAAGCACTGGTGTGTGTGGGGCAACCAAGAGGGGGCTGCAGCGCCCAGTGGTGGGCGGGCTGGGCTGGAGCCCCTGGGAGCCTGTGGTGGCCTGGCCTCCAGGTCGGTGATGCAGGATTTCTGGAGGAGGGGCTGCTGCCGGGCGTGTGGGCCCAGGGCCCTGGCTGACCCCTCGGGGCCGTGGGTTCGGATGCCACTGACCGTCCTGTGGGTCACTGTGACACTCGCCATGGCCCTGTTCCTGCCCGACCTCAGCGAGATCATCGGCATCATCGGCGGCATCAGTTCCTTCTTCATCTTCATCTTCCCAGGTGAGACGCCGCTTCCTGGGCCTCCTGCCTGTGCATCCTTCCCGTTGCTCTCTGCGGGCGTCCCTGTGGTGCAGGTCAAGGGTCTGGAGGGTGGGAGCCCCGTGTGGGTAGGACAGCTCCCAGCCCTGTTTACGAGCCCGGCACAGCCCAGGGGCCATAACACCGTCCCTCATGAAGCATCTCCGTGGCCGCCCTGGATGCAATGATGGGAGTTTCGTCACCGTCCCATGCCATGGACGAGAAGACCAAGGCCCAGGGGCCTCCCGGCTGCACAGCTAGCGCGGAGCAGGGCTGAGCTGACCTTACGGCTTTGCCCCCCCGCCCACGGCGGCTGCCTGCTGCGGGATTTTGTTTTATTTCTAAAAAATATTTTCAGCGGCTGGCCTGGTGGCCGAGTGGTTAAAGTTCTGCACGCTCTGCTTCGGCGGCCAGGGTGGGTGGGTTCGGATCCCGGGTGCGGACCTACTCCATTCATCAGCCCCGCTGTGGCCACATCCCATATACACAAACATCGAGGAAGAAGGGCACAGGTGTTAGCTCTAGCTCAGGGACAGTCTTCCTCAAGCAAAAAAGAGGAAGATTGACAATGGATGTTAGCTCAGGGCCAATCCTCCTCACCAAAAAATGATTAAATAAATATATATATATTTCCAATGACATGAAATTCACACGGCTCAAAGGCGCCCCATGAACGGCTTCCTCCCCTTTGTCCCCTGACCTTGGAGGCAAACACGGTTTCCGTGAGGGATGGTTTCTTAGGAAACCTTCCCAGTGTTACTGAGTAACGATGAGAAGTTCTAGTTGAAACGGCCGAGGGTTATCCCGGACTGGGAAAGCCAGGGGGGCCAAGGCCCAGGTTCCTCTGGAGAAGGAGGAGTGTTGGTGACCGAAACCCCAGGTCCATTCTGGCCCTGGCACTGGGAAGCTCTTCCAGACGTGAGGGGGGGTGGCCACATCCCGCCGCCCACCCACCCGGGGTCTAGGTCTGCAGATCTGGAGTCTTAAACACACAGGAAGTCGGGGGCCATGCGATGTCCTGGGTGCCGCCTTTTAGCTCCAGCTATTTCCCCGGCTGGACAGGACCGGCCAGGACAGGGTTGGGATGAGGGTGAAGCCGTGGGAAATTTTGGCAGAGCTGTCTGGCTTTGAATCCCAGCGGAACTAATGAAAAAAAAGAGAGAGGATGAGAAAGGAGAAGACCACGGTGCAGCTGCCAGCTGTGGGCCTCCCAGGAGTCGGGCCATCGCAGAGACCCTGTGGAGGGGTGCTGTCATCGTCATGTGAAAGGCTGAGCCTCTAGAGGCCAAGACGTTCGGAGACGTCGAGGGGGACCCCAAGCGAGGCCTTGGCCACCACGCTGTGCCGCCTTGCTGGGAGCGGCGTGAGCCGCCGGGGCCACTGTGGGCAGAGGCCCTGCTGGCCTCTCGGCCCCTGGGGACTGCTGGGTGTTGCCTGAGCTCTCGAGAGCACAGGGTTGCTTCAGGTTCAAGAATGAAGACTGGGGTGACCCTGAGTCTCCTTTGCAGGTCTGTGCCTCATCTGTGCCGTTGGCGTCGAGCCCATGGGACCCCGAGTCAAGTAAGTGTCTCGAAAGGAGGCGTTGAAGGGGCTCAGGGTGGGAGAATGTGAGTGCGGAGGGGCCGTGAGATTCTGCTGTCCCGCCATGAGAAAACCGCAGGCAGTGGGGGCGGGGGTCTGCGCAAGGACTGGGACCCAGGCCAGCAGGGCCAGTGCCGGTGCTCTGTCGGTCCATGCACGGCTTTCCCTTCCGCTCTGAGGGTCTGTGGTTGGAGCTCTGTGTGGTTTGGGGTCTTCCGGGCCTCTGGAGGCCCCGGCCATGCATCCTCCTCCTCTCCCACTGCCTGTGCTCCCATCCCAGGCAGGATGGCTGCAGGCTGGTCCTGTCGGCGCACAGAGCCCTCAGGTATGGAGGCCGTGTAGCCCTCCAGGCACCAGGGCTGCTCTGTCCACACGGGCGCAGGTCCTGGCTGGGCCTGCCCTTTACAGGCACATCTCCCTACTGTGCCGGGGTCTCTCTATCCTGCAGACAAGGACCCACAGGACGCGGCAAGTCAGGGCAGAGCGGGGACTCAACCTGGCCTGACGGGACCAGGGGCCCCTGCTCCCCCTTCTCCCCGCTCCACACTGCTGGTCAGACGAGAATCTGGACTGTCCCTTTATTCAGCAGAGTGCCCTCCTCCGTGTCAGCCGTGAATCAGACGTGACTGGGACCCTGTATTTGCCATTGAGGGGCCCGGTCTGACTGCAGTGGAAAGGAGCATGTGTGCACAGAGGATGCCCCGCTCCTCAACTAGGCCCCGGGGCCCTGAGCGGCTGCGGAGCTCTTACTCCCATTGCACAGACGTGAGAACTTTGCTAAAGAGGTGCTCGCTGTGTTGGTTTTCTAGAGTTGCCATAACAAGTTGCCCAAACTGGGTGGTAAGCAGCAAAGATTCATACTCTCATTTCTGGAGGCCAGAAGTCGGAAATCAATGTGTCAGCGGGGCTGTGCTCCCTCTGAAGGCTCGAGGCGGGGTTCCCTTCCTTGCCGTTTCCTCCTTCTGGTGGCTCCAGGCATTCCTTGGCTTGTGGCCGCACCCCTCCAGTCTCTGCCTCCATCCTCACGTGGCCTCGCCCCTTGTCTGTGTCTCAAATCTCCCTCTGCCTCCCTCTTACTGGGGACACCTGTCATTGCATTTAGGGCCCACCCCAAATGCAGGATTTTCTCATCTCCAGATCTTTAACTTGATTGCAACCTCGGTGAAGAGTGGATGTGAATTTGGGGGACCACCACTCAGCCCAGTAGACATGCTCTTAAGTTACAGCAGCCGTGGACTGGGTCCCACCTCCAGGCGGGTGCCTCAGTCTCCCCCCTCCTCCAGCTGCATGGGGCGCAAGCTGGGTCTTCCAATGGCGGCAAGCTCGGCTGGTTCCCTTCTGGGCAGGGAACATTTCTGGATGTCTCTAAACCCGACTGGGGCGTGGAGCTGGCTCCCGACTGTCAGGGTCCCCCACGTGGTTCCTACTCTGTCGTGCTCTTGCAGCCCCTTGCTGCTTGTGTTTTGCCCCTTGATCAAGCTCACAGCAGTTTTTACGGATGGGCTTTCAAGATATTTTTACTTCTGGAACTGCTTCAGGGCCTTCTGATCTATCAGAGCTGCTCCAGGAGCGCTGCAGCCCTGGGTCACGTTCCCCTCGGGCTCCCGCCCTCAGACAGGTGGATGTTCACGGCACAGAGTCACCGCTCCGAGATGCTGCTTGACGAGACATGGTCTTTCCATGACAACGGGTCCTTGTGGGCCTTGTTAATGGGACCCGACATTCCTCTGGCGGCCCTGCCTTTGTGGGAATCTTATTATCGTCGCTCTCCTTTCATTCTCTGCACCGTCTCTTCTGGTTTATGTTATGAAGCTGCCAGTTCCCACCACCCCTGCCGCCTCCGCCCTGGTCCCCCAGCCGGTGTTCCGATTGTGTGTGACTTGGGGCTTTCTTCTCCCTCCTCATTTTTGGGGGGACTTCATCCCCCACCCAAAAAGGGAAAGGAGTGGGAAGGGAGGTTGAAACTAGCGTCGCCCTCCCCCCATTTCTTTGGCTTTGATAAAATATTGAGGAGGAGCGAGGCTGTGAAAGAACCGAGGGAGCGAGAGGTGTTTGGAACGCCCAGGTGTGTTATTTCCTGTTGTCTCAGAGACCCACCCCTGCAGGGAGGGGAGAATATGCTCCGATTTTTTTCCAAATCAGTGACTCTGATGGGCTTTAAATAATAAGTGTTGTGCATGTGCTGGCTCGTCCGTGCGAAACCCCAGAAGAGCGCGTACTGACGTGGGCTTGTTGACTTGGCAGGTGCTGCTTGGAGCTCTGGGGAGTGGTCTCCGTGCTCGTGGGCACCTTCATCTTTGGGCAGAGCACGGTGGGGGCCGTCTTGGAGCTCGTCTGAGGGGCGGCCGCACCTGAGCAGGAGGGGGGCCTCCCCCGGCCCTCGTGGCACCGCTGCCCGAGTCCAGCCGTGGGACCGACGTCATTCCGTCATAAAGATGCTGGAGAAACGGATTCCTTCTTCCTTCTCAGGCTGCTCACTGGGGCTTCTGCTGGCTCAGAGGGCTTCCGGCGCAGTGGGGAGGAGCGTGTCAGGGTGTCCTGGGGCAGCCCCAACCGGTGGCCACAAACAGCAGAAATGGGCTCTCACAGTTCTGGAGGCTGGGAGTCTGAGGGCCAGGTGTCGCGGGGCCACACTCCCTCTGAGGGCTCCACAGATCCTTGCTGCCTCTTCCGGCTTCCCGCGTTGCCGGGCATCCTGGGCTGGTAGACGCGGCACTCCAGGCTCTGCCTTCATCTTCCTGGGGCCATCCTCTCTGCGTCTCTGACCAAATTCCCCTCTCGTGTAAGGACGCCAGTCATTGGATCAGGGCCCGCCTTAATTCAGGATCACTTCCTCTTAATGTAGTTACTTAATTAGCATCTGCAAAGGTCCTGTTTCCAAATTAGGTCAAATTCACAGATTCCAGTGGCTAGGACTTTAGCTTAATATTTCTGGGGGACACAGTTCAACTCATACCTGAGAAGTAGGGGCTGAGGCCCAGAGAGCCGTGCTTTGGGGCGTCGGGATCAAAGACCTGAGGTGAGGGCGTGAGAGCCCAAAAGGAGGTTTCAGGTGGTGTCCGATGGGGGGTGGCGGTGGACTCGAGCTGGGCCTCGGGCTGGGGCGTGGGGACTGCTGAAATCCTGCCCTTGACCAGGAGATGCCCAAGGAGACGGACGCCCAGAGCTGGCCACACGACCTTGCACTTGCCACATACCCCGATGGGGGGAACCCCAAGGAGCGCCCCCTTTCCCTTCCACTGACCGGACCTGAGGAGCCTGGAAGCCAAGTGGGCCGTTTGCGCTGGGGTTCCCGCCTGGCCCCACCCCAATTCTGGCATGAGGAGTCACATGAAGCCGAGGAGGAGGGGCGGACGGTCTGCCCCAGGGCCTGGGGAGAGGAGAGGAGACGGGGTGGGGAGAAGCCGGTGGAGAGGCCCGGGGGCCCAGCTGCTCTCGCCCCGTGCTCACCAGCACAGACCCTGCCCAGGCCCGGGGACGTCCTGGATGTTGCTGGGTTCAGGCCACTCTTCCTGCCTGCAGACAGAAGCAGCCAGTGGTGCAGAGCCAGGAGGGGCTGACATTCGGGGACGCCTCCCTCGGGGGAGGCAGGGGGCCCAGCTCTGTTTGTTGTGTCCTGCGATGTGTACATGACTGTGCGAGGTTGGTGGTGATAGAACCATTATTTTGTTGGTTTTTTCCAGCCTGTCCACCTGCATGAATTTTTGAAATTGAGTTATGATTCACATACTATAAAATTCACCCTTGAAAAGTGCACAGTTCAGTGGGTGTTAGGAGATGGAAGAATGGTGCAGCCATCAGCAGTATCTGATTCCAGCGCATTTTCTTACCCGAGAAACCCAGTGCCCGTGGGCAGTCACTCCCCAGGCCCCCTCCCCCAGCCCCCTCCCCCCGGGCAACCATGAATCTGCTTCTTGTCTCTGTGGATTTGCCTGTTCTGGACATTCTCTATGAATGGGCTTATGTGACATGTGGCCTTTTGGGTCTGACTCCCTTCATTTGGCATAATGTCTTCAAACTCATCCATTCAACAGGTGGGGCAACTGAGGCTTGGAAATGTCAAGGCCACCTGTCCTGTGAGGTCCAGAGTTGGGGTTGGGACCGATTTGGGGTTAAAGTCTGTTGTCCGGTTCTTTCCAGTCCACGCTTCACTCGGAGGAGTGGCCAGGGGGGTGGGAGCTGGGATGCCTGACCCTGGGGGCAGGGGGCCACCCTCTGTGCTCCTCCGCCATGGCTGCTGGTGGAGGCAGGAAGTGTGGCCTCTGGTGTAGACTCTGACCCAGTGGGGGGTACACAGGAGCTCCAAGTGCTCTCTGACCAGCCGCCCCACACCCCCACCGGCCACACCCTGTGTTCAGCGGCCACAGCATCCTCCCGAATGAGGGTCTCAGAACCAGGATCGCTTTAATGGAGCATTTACCACCCCCGAGCCAGCAGCGAGGACGGATGGTCAGTCATTGGTTATTTACAGCCTGAATGTTTCCTAAAGCACGTGGGGCAGGCCAGGAAGGCGGGGGCCATGAGAGGACCATTCGCGGAGAGTCCTAGCATGAGAGCAAAGCACGCTGGGGGTCAGGTCGTGTCAGAAAAGGCTTTGGAGTCAGACCACCGGTTTGAACACTGCCTCTGCCATTGGCTATCTCAAGATCTTGGGCAGTTTATGAACCTCTTCTAAGAACCGGTTTCTCCACCAGCCAAATGGAGCAGGCTTATTGTGTACGATGTGATGTGGGCTTACTGTGAGGAGTAAAAAAAAAAAAAAAGATGAGCAGCCGGTGGGGGACCCAAGAAATGGTAGTTTTATTTCCAGAAAATCTGGGTTGAGATTGACAGAACACTGAGCTTCCTGGCAGCTGAGGGAAAAAGGGAAATAAGAGGACACGAGGGCTCACCCCAAAGCAGGAAAGCATGTCAGGAAGGAAGTGGACTGGCACTAAATGCTAAGAAAAGATAAGAGTGGGGCTCTTTGAGGGGTGACAAATATCATCACTGGGGACAGTGGTTTCCGTCTCGATTCTGTGACAGCTACAAGTGTGTCCTCATACGACTAAGCCTCAATTCAACCATCATGATGCAGGGACACAGTGCTGCCAGAGAAAAGCAGGCTAGGATGTCACCCTCTGATGTCTGACCTAACAAGGAAGGGACGGGCTGTCTCCTGGACTGTCCTGCCCCAAGACTAAGTGGCTCCCTTAAGTTTGTGACAGCCGCTGGATGAGGGAAGGGCTGGAGGGGGTTCTCACGGTCAGGGTGGTGTGGCGTAGGGCCTTGAGCACAGCCTCTGGGTCTGGAAGATCTGAGCCCACTCTGCCCGCCACCTACCAGCCATGTGACCTTGGCCAGGCCTGGCCCTCCCTGAACCGCCCTTGTCCTCAGGTGCTCACTCAGGAAAGACTCCAACAATGCTGTTTTTAGCCTTGGCGTCCCTCCTGGGCCTAGGTGGGCAGCTGCCTCTTCCTTCTCCCTTCCGGCCCTCGGTTTCCGTCTTCTTCACTCTCCTCTAAGACAGGGCTGAGGACAGCTCCCCTCCCTCCCAGGATGGCCATGAGGACAAGCTGAGACACACTCGCAGAGCCCCCGGCACAGAGCTGGCCTGCACAGGCGCCCGGTCGAGGGTGTCACCTGTGCTTGTGGGTAGAGACTCACGTCTCGAATGACAGCTGTGAACGTGGCCAACTGACATTTCACAGCACAAATGACCTGTTCTGCCCTGAGCTTCCTGGGGAAGGCCTTCCACTGGCTCAGGTGCCCCCAAGGGACTGCACAGGGACCCCACCCCGGTGCCGCTGCCCCCAGCACCTCAGCGGCTGCCGCCTCCACGCAGGCTGCCTCTGCGCGCCTCCCTTGGAGGGGCGGGTTTGCACTGGACGCGGCAAGCACGCGGATCAGCCCGTTGGAGGCAGGTGGTGAACGCCTCTGTGTGGGCGGGTGAGTCGACTGGTGTTTTTTCTTTCAATTGAGGTGAAATTTGCATAACATAAAATTAACCATTTTAAGGTGGACAATTCAGTGGCATTGAGTGCCTTCACAATGTGTAACCACCACCTCTAGTTCCAGAACATTCTCATCACCCCAAAAGAAAGCATGAAGCCATCAGCAGGCACTCCCTATTCCCTCTGCCCCCGGCAACCACTGATCTGTTGTTTCTGTAGATTTAACTACTCTAGACATTTTATAGGAATGGAACATACACACGTGGCCTTTTGTGACTGGCTCCTTCACTGAGCATTATGTTTTCGAGGGTCATCCATGTCGTGGCATGGACCCACGGTCTTTCCTTTTTACGGCTGATCTATTCCATTGTGTGGACAGAGTACGTTTTATTTATCCATTCATCCACTGATGGACATCGGGGTTGTTTCCACCTTTTGACTATCGTGAATAAGCTGCTGTGAACATGTGTGCACAAATATTTGCTTCAATGCATCTTTTCAATCCTTTTGGGCATCATATATGCCCGGGGATGGAAGTGCTGGGTCGTACGGTAACTCTGTCTTTAACTGTCTCAGGAACCTGCTCAGGATCTTAGTGTATTCATCTGGAGTGGTTCCTCCCCATGTGTCTACACTGTGTGGCACAGTGGTTAGGGCACAGGATGGGGGCAGGTAGTTCTGGGCTTGGATATAAGCCGTGCCATTTGCTTGCTGTGTGACCTCTGCTGAGTTACTTGCCCTCTCTGTGTCTCCCTTTCCCCACCTGCTGATCACAAGATGGCACAGGCAGCATCGAGGGTGATGGCACCTACCCCGTGCCTGACTCCGTGCCTGGCCCTGAAGTGTAATTTAAGTGGGAGCTCTTATACCTTTTAGGGTTGAAATTTGTTCTCTTCAGAGCCCATTCCACGCACTCAGAACCCGAGGAGGCGCTGAGTGCTTGTGGGCTGCAGTCAGCAGAGACGCTGTGACACACAGAGGGCTTGGGCAGGTGGGTGTGACGTGTGGCATAAGTGTAACATGCCCAGCGAACGGGGCTCCTCAGCTGCACCCCGAAGATCCCCAGCCCCCTGAGAATATTATTTTTAAAACAGCTGAGCCGACTGGAACAGCACCAGCTTCGGGGTGAGGTGGGCTCGGGGCAGCTCTGTGCTCGCTGACGCGGCCAGCGGGACCCAGTCCAGGGGCGTTCTCATGACCAGGCGGTGCTGACCTTCAAAGTGGGGGGCTCTTCTCCTCACTTTATAGACGAGAAAACAGAGGCTCCGAGAGGCTCGTGGCAAAGACGTTCAGCTCAGAGATGTGTAGCTGGGACTCGAGGCTGCATTGTATGCTTCCCCCAAGCCCGCGTCGTGTGGCACTAGTTTTGCACGAGTGGCCAGCATCCTCCAGCCCTGCCAGGAGGTGGCTGGGAGGTGAATACCCAGTTCGAGGATGGGAGCTGCCCTGGGGAGGAGGGGATGGTGGGGGCCGAGGCCTCGCCCAGTGGCGACGGCTTTACGACCGCCACATGTCACAGCCGGGCTGCTCCAGGCTCAGAGCTGGAGGCCAGAGGATGCCCCTCCCGGGTCCCGCCTCCCCGGGCTCCCACTGGGGCCGACCCACCGCTGCCCTGATGTGATGTAGGGCCTCCCCCTCCCCCCTCCCCGGCTGCTCCTGGTCCCCCCACCCTCCTCTCCATCCTTAGGAGGGGGACCCACGGCTCCCTGGAGAGTTCTGTGTATGACATCTTTCCTGCAACCAGGACAGGGAAACAGAAGAGGGGAAGTCAGAAAGGTTCCAGAATAGGACTTCACCATTATTTCCAGCCCAGTCTGTGGGCGCCTGTCTCGTTGGAACAGCTCATTTCCAGGTGTGCAGTGAAGGATTAACTGCCTGGAGAGGTCTGGGCTTTGCCCTCGGCTCCTGGGAGGTGACCTCTAGGACTGTCCTGCCTGATCCGAGTGTCCTTGTTAACCTGGGGCTTTGGGCCATGGGGTATCAGCTGGACCTCCAGTGGGGCTGCAGGCTGGGGTCAGCCACGTCCGCATGAGTGACCCCCACTGAGAACTCTGATCACCGAGGCCCCAGGGGTGTCCCTGGGTGGCAATATTCTATGCATAATGTGACACGTTAGTGCTGGGAGAAACAGGCACTGTCTGCCCGACTCCACTGGCAGGGGACGACGGGAAGCTCTGTGCCTGCTCTCGCCTGGTCCCTGCCCCACACGCCTCTTCACATCCTTTTGCAGCCATAATCTGTAGCCACGAGCATGATGCCTTTGCTGAGTTCTGAGTCCTCCTGGTGAATTATGGAACCTGAGGGTGGTCTTAGGGACCCCCGAACTTTGCAACAAGCACAAGCTTATTTGTCAAAATACGTTCCCCATAGTCATCACCTCCATTTCACAGATAAGAAAACTGAGGCTCTGGGCCGAGCTGGTCCAGGTTTCACAGCTCCTCAGGGGCCCCACTAGAAACCATCCTCACACTAGACGAAGGGAAACCACCACACACAGTGCGCGGCCGCTGCCAGCGGAGTTTATTGGAGCCGGTCCAGTGGCGGCTGGCCGCCTGGCAGGGTGCTGACTACCGGGCTCTGCTGCCGTGTGCGGCCGGGCACAGGCCTAGGTCGGGCGCTACGGGGGCTCGGCTCCTACCACGTAGAGGACTGTCAACCAGGACAGGGAGCGGGGCGCGTCCTGCTGAGGCCGCGGCGGCCTGGGCGCCTGGGGCTGGGCATCTGAGGCCCCGTCCAGGGGGTGGGCTAGGGAGGGTCGGGCTGCCGGCTCCAGGAGGCCTCCCGGCCCAGTGGCGGGTCCGACGCTGCTCTGCCAACGAGGATGGGGGTATGGGGTGGGGGAGGGGGTCTCCTTCACTTCAGAGAGCAGGGAAATACATTCTTGTTTGGAAGTATATTGAAAAGACAGCTCGTGTACCAAAGTGTCTAGAAAAGAGGGGACGTCCTTCGTAAGAGGGGCAGGGTGGCAGGCGCGTCTGCAGGCCTCCGGGAGGGGTCAGTCGCGGCCCACGGTGCACCAAGCGGCTGGCAAGGGGTGGGAGAGAGATACGTCAGCAAAGGGGGGCTGTGGGGACGGGCAGCCCCTGCCGGCTGCAGCGAGGGGCCAGTGGCTCACCTCCCCTCTCCTGCACCCCTGGACCACATCCCCTCATTCAGCTGCTGCCGGCTCTGTGCCAGGCGGGGGCTGGCCTGCACGTGGCAGGGGAAGGCTGGGGCCCTTTTGTGGGGTGCAAAGGTGCCTGCCGGGCCCCTCGGTGGCAAATCACATGCCTGTGGAGGTAATGTGGGTCTGGCTGTGAATGGGGGAGGCGAGGACCCACCTTGGGGCCTGCCCTGGACTGGGGGGTTTCTGGGCCTCTGGCACAGCCCCACCACATGCTGGTCTCTTCTGGGCCCACCTCCCCGGTGTCCCTGGCTTTTGGTCATGTCTGAGGTGCCACCCCGTCCCCACTCTGTTGTTCTGAGGTTGTAGTGCCACTTTCTGTCTCAGGCCCTGTCCTCACATTTCGGGGGCTGGCCTGATGCTCTGGCCCTGGGTCTCTCCCCGCATTGGTGCCGAGCACTCATTGGAACTCCTGGCAGCTAAGGCAGCAGGAAGAGGAGTCGCTGGAAGATTTCAGCCTTGTCCTTCCCTCGACTCAGCCATCTCCTGCTGGAACCAGGGCCCTGTGGTCCCCCACCCCCACCCCCCTGCCGCTGTTCCTGGCTCTCTGCCCGCCCGCCCGCTACCTGGCACAGAGATCCTGGAGAGGGCCTCGGGCTGGCTCAGCGTGTCCACCTTGGCGTGCCGGAACGCCTTGCACACGGGGCTCTGCAGGTGCCTGCAACCCAGGGGGCCGCCAGTGAACGCCTGGGGCTGGGTGGTCCGGCTCTGCCCAGGATGGACCTTAACCCTGCTCAGCCCCCTGGAGGCTTAGAGCCATCGTGTGAAGGTCAGATGGCCGGGGAGTGGCAGGTCTGGGGGAGAAGAGCCTGGGTCTTTCTTTCCAGGGACTGTCCTTAATGAGAATTTTTTTAGCCCTTGGGGCAGCAGTTTTCAAAGAGGATCCCAGGGCTGGCCAGGGACCTGTCACACTGCACAGAGAAACACCGCCTCCAGCTGGATTGAGGGCAGGCATTGGCTGGAAGAGGCCAGCGCTCTGGGGCGTGGATGCTGCTGGAACCCCGGCTCATTATCACCATCCCCTCCTCCCCTCCTAGGATACTGCGGGACAAGGGAAGGAGCCGAGAGCCCTGGAAAAGCTGCAGGGGAGCTGGGGCCGCCCCACCTCCTCGTCCCATCACCTAATTGACCGCCGCGGCCTGGCGCTAGAAGCCATGGCTGTGCCCACCTCTTCCACTCCTCCTCCGTCTCCCAGAACTCGTAGACCACGAAGGTGAGGCCGTCCGACAGCCTCACGGCGGCGATGCTGCAAGGGGAGAGGAGAGGAGAGGCCGGAGCTGGTGGACTAAACTGCACCACCCACATCCCGCCCCCCTCGGCTGCTCTCTTCTTCTCCCCGCCACCTCCCTACCGTCAAACGAGCCTGGACAGGGCGCCCCCGGAGCCAGGCTATGGGGTGCCCTAAGACCCTGGAAATGCGAGCCTGGCAGGAGAGGGGGTGGCCAGGGGCCGGGGTGTTCCAGGACAGGCAGCCAGCCTGTCACCAGCCCAAGGCTGCTCTGCTAATGCTGCTGCCGGAGCCTGCAGGGCCGGCCATACCGTCTGATCAGTCCAGCATGTCTCCCCACCGCCACTCGCCTCATTTTAAATAGGACTGATCCTACTTGGTGGGGAGGGGGAACAGGGTGGAGGGCTGACCTCCAAGATGACATCGTCTCTAACGTGCCCCGGTCTGGCCTCCCCACGGCGCTCCGGGCCGCTTCTCTTTCACACACTCAGCAGAACAGAACCCACGAACCTCCTCGAGGCAAGCTTTATAATTACAGGCAATTCCAGGTCGGGCCGCCCAGGATGGAGGCAGGGAAACAGGCAGCTAATGGTATCATTAGTTCATTATGCTCCAGCCTAAAATTACACGTGGAGCCGTGGGCTCGTGACTCCCGGAGAGGATGGGGCGGGGTCCGTGCCGCCTGCCAATCAGATGTAAGCCATGGCCCTTTGCCAGACTCAGCCGGCGCTGCTTACAGGCCTTTCGGTCGACAGACAAAGGTCATCAGAGCAATTTGGCGCATCTAAGGCTGGTTGCTGCCCCGAGATGAAAGCAATCACCGTGATTGCATTTGCTCGGCTAATGACGTCCTGATTGATTTTTCTTGGGCTGGGGGTGCAGGTGGCCTCTGGATGGGCAGAAGACAGGCAGGCTTGGGGTGCAGGGAGGACACAGGATGTGAAGCCCTACTGCGTGCCACCCGTGTGCACAGGAGGGGCGGCTGGGCCCCTTTCTCCTTCCGCATTCTCCCGGCAGCCAGCATCTCTCTCAGGATCTCCCCATTTGTACGCACACCTCGATGGGCATCTCGAAATTAACGTGGCCCAAACGGCCTGCGTGGCTCCCTCCACCAGCACACCTGACCTCCTCAGTACACGGCACCATCCTCCTCCGAGTTTCTGAAGCCCAAGCATCTCAAACTCTGTCTTGCCTCCTCCTTCCACAACGCCCTCCTCCCGGCCGCCAGCAAGTCTGGTCAGCTCTGCTCCGAAACAGATTTCAGCTCTACCCTCGTCGTGCCAAGGCCATGCCCCCATGCCCGGTGACTGCAGGGCCTCTCCCTGGCCACCTGCTGCAATCTTGTCCCCTCCCGACCCTTCTGCACACAAGGGAGACCAGACCATGTCTTGCTCCTGCTCACGCATCTCCAATATGGTCCAAACGAGCAGGGCCTGGAGGGTGGACGTGAGTGGGTCCTGCCCGCCGCCCCTGTCCCTCCTCCGCCCTCGTCACTCTGTCCAGACACACCAGTGTCTTTTTCTCAAACACGGCGCCCTCGCTGCCACCCCAGGTCTCAGCACAGGCTGATCCCCCCGCCCAGACTGCCCTTCCTCAGTGCACACGCAGCCCCTCAACCTAAAGCAGCCCCCTCCCCAACCGCCCCCCACTCGGGACCCTCAGCCTCCATCACCAGTCAGAATCATCCTCCTTTTGTCCCTCTCCCACCACCTAGGATAAACGATCAGCAAGAGCAGCATCCTGATTCGTGGCTGTATCCCCCGGGCCGGCCCCCAGGAAGGAGACTGAAGGCATGTGCTCTCGACTTGGGAAAAAGCCAAGTGAAGAGGGAGTGGATCGAGGCAGGACACGGGCTGCAGCTACCGTCGCTGGGTGCTGATGCGTGGGCCCGAGAGGGGATGGAGAGCCTGGCGGCTTGTGCCAACAGCCCTCTCGGGCCACCCCCGGCGAGGGTGAGGGCTATCGTCTTTTGTGGGCCACTCAGACGTGCCCACGGCTGCCCGGCTCAGCTCTGCCAAAAATCAGCGCAGGCCTTGGTGGCAGGACAGACGGCGAGGCCCCTGAGGGGCAGCCACAGCAGTAACAGGGCAGCTAACACGGAGTGGGCGCTGACTGGGTGCCAGGGGCTGGCCGAGTCCTTCACGTCCAATGCTCCATTTCGGTCTCCGGCAGCCCCAGGGAGTGGTCCCGCTTTCCAGATGAGCTAGCTGAGGTCAAGGAGATGAATCACTCGCCCCATCTGCACAGCGGGGAGAGCCTGCGCCAGGACCGAACCCAGCTCTCTTCACCGCCCTGCCAGTGCTTCCCTGGGGAATGGTTTGTGCTCAGGGGTGAGGCTGGGGGGCTGCCCCGCCCTCTACCCCGAGGCGGAGCTGCCCGAAGCCCCTCGCTGACTCACTGGAAGCAGTCCTTGGTCCCGGCGGTGCCCCGCAGGTACTGTCGCAGAGAATCCAGGAACTCGCTCAACTGCTCGGGGCACACGGCCATCTCCTGCCGGACCAGCTGCAGGTGCTGCGGGCCACAGCCGAGTGAGCGTGGGTGCCCCTGGGCCGGGCAGCCCCTCCCCCTCCCAGGACCCCACAGCCCCATGGGCACAGCCTCGCCATGCCTCCCTTCAGAAAGGAGGGGCAATTTGGTCAAAATGAAACCAACCAAACCCCACATGCACGTGCACTTTATCCTTACATATAAGAACGGGCTAAAAAAGAACTAGAACTTAAAAAGTCAAATGCAGGGCCGGCCCAGGGGCGCAGTGGTTAAGTGCGCACGTTCTGCTTCGGCGGCCCCGGGTTCGCCAGTTCAGATCCCGGATGCAGACATGGCACGGCTTGGTAAGCCATGCTGTGGTAGGCGTCCCACTTAGAAAGTAGAGAAAGATGGGCATGGATGTTAGCTCAGGGCCAGTCTTCCTCAGCAAAAAGAGGAGGACTGGCGGCAGATGTTAGCTCAAGGCTAATCTTCCTCAAAAAAAAAAAAAAAAAGTCAAACGCAGGAAGCAGTCCCCAGAAATGCTGAAAACCAGAGGAGGGGTTTGAACAGGCTCTACGAACATCTGGGGCTGCCTGTGAGGCATCTGGGTCCTAGACAACATCCGTGAGCAGCAGAAGTCGTTTCTGATAGAATCGGTGTGTGGACATCACTGCTGTGTTGGTCCCTTGGCTCTGGGCCACACTTTTTTTGCTCAAAGCCCTGGCGCCTCAAAGAACAGCCCTGGGAGGGGAGGGTGGCCAGGTGCTGGGCTGCATCTCCCCTCCTGGTGGTCCCTGGGGGGCCGGGTGTCAGGGACACTGAGCCACCGGCATCTTGAGTCCTAGCTCAGGCAGGGCTGGGGCCACAGGAGAGGGCGGGGAGGGAGGCCTCGGGAACGGGCTCACCATGTTGGTGCCTTCTTCATCTGAGAGGCGCTGCTGCAGGTCAAACCAGAGGGTCTGAAACAGCAAAGCACAGAGAGATGCTGGACACAGAGGCCGCTTCCGTCAGGGAGGCCTCCAGGACCACAAGGACACTGCAGTGCTCAGGGCCCCACGGAGCTCCAGCCCCTCGGCCCCAAGTTTCCAGAGGCTCTCGAGGCCCCCACTGGCGGGAGCTCCCAGGGGTCAGGCTCGCTGGACAGGGCTCAGTCCGCCCCCCACACGGCCCTGGCCAAGCACACCCTCTACTTGAGACCTACCTTGGCACAAAGCAGGCTCCACGTTGCTGGGGTGGGGTGTCCTGGGAGAGGCAGCAATGGGGACTCGAGTCCTGAATCCAGGATGCTGGTTTTTTGCCACAACTGCTGGCAACAGCCCTGAGATTCCCCATTAACTTACAAATCACCCCTAATTGTAACCCCTGGCACCTCAGCTAACGGTCTGAATGAAGGTGGGCTGTTCTCGCTGGTTCTGCAGGCCCTGCGCTAAATGCTTTACAAACACATTTTATTTAACTTTCCAGACTTCCTGAGCCAGGGGTGCCCCACTGTAAGCTCCACGAAAGCAGGAACCCCGTGCACGCTATTCACGGCCTCGCGCCGGCGTCCAAAACAGGCCCAGAAGCTCGAGGATGCTCACTGGTCACTATTTCATAGCAAACAACCCCGGACTCTGAAGCCCACAAAAGTTGGTTGTTGATTCTGGGGCTGAACCCAGGGCCTCTGTCCTCTGACACACAGAATCATGATTCTTCTTCCTTGAACATGGGGTACCCCAATAAATGCCACTTCTGTGCCTATGGCTGTCCAGCCTCCCTGAGGACAGCCGAAATCACACCCCCAGGTCTTTCCTCTCATGCAAGCACGTGTGTGAGGCACACCGACTGGATGTTAAGGAAAACAGCAGCACATGTGTGGGCCTGGGACCCGTGCAGTCACCATCCTGAAATTGTTTTGTTTTTTTTTTTGAGCAAGATTAGCCCTGAGCTAACAGCTGCTGCCAATCCTCCTCTTTTTGCTGAGGAAGACTGGCCCTGAGCTAACATCCATGCCCATCTTCCTCTCCTTTATATGTGGGACGCCTACCCCAGCATGGCTTGCCAATCGGTGCCATGTCCGCACCCGGGATCTGAACTGGCGAACCCCGGGCCGCCAAAGTGGAACGTGCGCACTTAACCGCTGTGCCACTGGGTCGGCCCTGAAATTCTTCATGTTTGGACAAGGGGCTCTGCCTGCTCACTCTGCGCCGGGCCCTGTAAATTACGCAGCCAGTCCTGGAGAGGGTACTGACTTCAGGGACACGCGGCGGGAACTTGGTTTGCGGGTGGCCAAGGAGCGCCTGGCAGGGGCAAGTCTGTCTCCATCATTTGACAACCGTGTAGGCGGGCACCTGGAGGGCAGCGGCTGCATCTGGTTTCCTAGGGGCCGGCAGGACCACGCGCGGGTGATGATGAGGGGAGGATGGGGGAGGCACAGCGGCAACCACCTCTGCCCCGTCCCCCTCCCAGACCGGCCGCCTGGCGCTCGATCCTCCGGCGGAGACAGAAGCGGCTCAGGTTGGCCCGCGGTGGGCGGGGCTCGGAGCTGGCCCCACCCCATTGGCTCCTGCTCGCGGCCTCGGCCAATCAGAGGCCAGCGAGGCGGGCCCCGCCCGTCTCCAGGAGGCCCAGGTACGCCTCGGTTTCCAGCCAGCCGGTTGTTAGGGCGACCGGGGCGCTAAAAATAAGCTTCAAAGGGCCTCCCCCTGGAGGCGCCCGCGGAGTTGTTATGACAACCAGGCCTCGGGGTCCGCGCGGAGCCGTCTCCACCTCTCCCACCCGCAGCTTTAAGGGCGGAGATCCCGCCTCGCCTCAGCCCTGCAGGTGGGATGGCCGCCTCCTCCCTCGGACTCCCCTCTGCGCGGCTGCTTCAGCCTCCCTCTGAGCGGGGAGCCCTGCGCCCTGCCCCCGCGAATCCCTCTGAACCCCCAAACGCATCAAAGTCCTAAATCTTTTGCCCTTTTGCAAAAGATGTAAAAAAAAATTTTTTTTAAGTAGGAGAAATGTAAAATCATCCCAACCCTAGGGCTCCTGGAAACCTGCTATCTTGGTTTACGTAGGCATATGGGTACAGCGTGTGCGTATATAGAAGTCTTGGTATCAGAACGTCCAATAATAATTGCTAACATTGCTAAAATTAATTGTTAACTGCACAGCAGGCTCTGAGCTAAGCCATTAAGACATCATTTTATTTAATCCTCATAACAACTCGATGAGGGGTCCTATTCTGACTATCATCTCTATTGTGAGAGGAGGCATCTGAGGCTCAGAGAGGGTAAGCCACTGGCCCAAGGTCTCACAGCTGTTCAGTGGTAGAGCCAGGATTTGAGTATGGGCAGTTTGATACCTGAGCCCATTGGTAAACCTTAAGGCAACCCGTTTCCTTTCTTCCAAGAAACAGTCATTGTTATGAGCTGAACCGAGTCCACCCCCCAAATTGATGTGTTAAAGCCCCCACCTCTAGTACCTCAGAATGTGACCGTATTTGGAGACAGGGCCTTTTAAGAGGTAACTGAGTTAAAATGAGGCCATTAGGATGGGCCCTGATCCATTATGACGGGAGTCCTTGGAAGAAGAGGAGATGAGGACACAGACACGCACGGAGGACGACCATGTGAAGACACAGGCAGAAGACAGCTGTCTACCCACCAGGGAGACAGGCCTCAGGGGACAGCAGCCCCGCCGTCACCCTGATCTCAGGTTTCCAGCCTCAAATTGTGAGAGAATCAACGCTTGTTGTTTCAGCCCCCGGCCTGCGGTACGTGGTTTCGGCAGCACTGGGACACTGATACAGTCGTGTTGTGAGCGCCCACTGAGTCACGACACGTCCTCCGAAAACACGACTCAGTGAAGGCCGTGCCGTTTTCTATTACCCGGAGACGCGCTGTATCGTACTGAAAAGATTTCATGCTGCTGGCGGTCGGGTTGCTTCTAATCTCTCCTGGGTCGTCACCGTGCCTCCTCACCACTACGCTGTCTGGGCGTCACCTGCCCAGGCCACCCTGCCTCAGAGCAAGGCCTCCCCAGAAGCCCTGTTCCCTGCTGCCCATGACCCTGCTGACTACTTTCGGCTCCTTGAGATGCCTCTCCTGGCACCCGCGCTCCCCTCCACAGCTGCTCCTTCCCCAGACACCTCTCCTCGGATGTATTCCGCTGGGGGTGTGTCTATCCTTAGGGAGCTGTGTTCTCCATTTCCATGCTCTGCCTGTGATGTCTCACCAAGGCTCTTTGACTTCTGTCCCTAACTCCAGGCCTAACTCTGCACTCCCTGGGGGCTGGGGAGAGCAGAGGGCTGGAGGCAGGGGTCGGTGGCTTACCTTGTTCTCCAGCCGTCCTATGAGCTCTGCCAACCGGCTGATCTGGGCTTCCAGGCCCTCCTCCTTGGGGTCCGCAGTGACTGGGAAAGAGGAAGACAGACAGTGATGGTGGGCAGGGCCAGGCCTGGGGGCAGGGGAGCCCCTAGTCTTCCGAGGGGCCAAGGCCTGCCCCCAGCCTCTCAGTCCCGGTCCCACTCGGAGGCCCAGCACCCATGTGGGCCACTGTCAGAATTCCTCCAAGGACCACCAGCCGGTGTCCCCCAGCCCAGGCCACGGCTCTCTCACCAGATGGAAGACTCGTCCCTTGTTCCATGGCCATGAGCTTGTGGTTGGGGGCGTAGGGGGGCGTGGGGCTTCCATACCAGGGCTCCACCGCGCCGTGGCTGGCTTTGCTATGGTTCTGTCTGCAGTGTGAGCGGGGAAACACACACAGCATGAGGGAGGCCGCAGGGCCCGGGCCACTCCAGCAGCTTGGACAGACATTAGGCACGGACCGTGGGCTGAAATGGGCACTTTACCCGGTGGAGCCCCATCCCTGTGAAGTGGGCATGGCGGCCTTTGTTTCAGAGGAAAGGAGGCCCCCAGGCAGGCAACTTGGCTGAGGCCATGCAGCTGGTGGGGCAGAGTCAGGATTTGAACTCAGCTCCATTCTAGGACTCCACAGCCCGGGCCCTGTTCCTGGGAGGCCCCACCCCACCCCAGTAGGCTCACAGCGTCCCCTGGGCCTCCCTCTCTGCCTGCCTCATGAGGAGCCCATTTGGTGTTTGGTGCCCTCTGGGGCGGGGTATCCTGGGTTTGTACCAGCTAGACAACTCCCCTGTCCAAAAAGGGGAGCCCCAGGACACAGTCAGGAGTGGGCATTTAATAGGACAGAGAACTCTGTGATCTTGACCTCCGCCAGGCCCCCTCTCTTGTCCCTGTACACCACATACACGGTTGTGTACACACACATGCACAGCCCCCAGCATGCTCCGAGCACGGTGCCTGCACACAGCAGGCACTCAGCAAATGCTCGGTGGATGCCCGAATCCCCACGTGCAGAGATGCCGGAAAACTCACCCATACAGGAACACAGACACACATATGCACATAAAACACACACACACTGTCCTGTGTACACGGCCGACATGCCCGGTCCCCAGCCTTCCTCTGCCTTCGGGCAGCACTGCCATGGCACCTTCTGGAATTTGTCTCCTGTGAATCTGAAAGCTCGGCAAGCCGCTGCTGTGGGAGAGGAAAGGCTGGCGGAACATTTGAGGTGTCGATCCTGGCAGCTCTACCACCCAGCAGCAAATTAAATGTGGCCCGCAGACCATGAACGGGAGCTGCGGGAGTCCGCGAGGGGCGGTGGGGTTGGAACCAGCAGCTTGTGCCTGGAACATCCCCCGGGCTGGGAAATAGGAAGGCAGGGGACTCGCAACCGGGAGCCAAGATAGCTGAGAATTGGGGCGGTTCAAGGTGCGAGTGCATGTGAAGCAGATGTGTGTCCTCACCACGACGTGCCACCCCCATCACCAACATCCCAAAGTAAGGTCCCAAAGTGGGGGCGGACAAGTGTAACCGCTGACATGTGACAGGACTGGCAAAGTGCAGGAAACCAACTATGAAAATTGTGCAGCCCTCTTATCTGCTCTGCAGCAGGATAAAAATGGTGAATTTTTAATCAAGATAGTGACAAAAGAAGGAAATCTAAGAGACAGCTTCCAGAGCTGTGGCTGTTAACCTTCGGGACCCTCAGAGTCACAAGACAGATCACAGATGCAGAGTTCCGGGCCCAGCTCCCAGGGATCCTAATCCAGCAGGCACAGCCCGGGGCCCGGGAATCTGCATTTTACACTTCCCAGGTGAGTTGGCTGCCCATGCTCAGAGTAAACACTTTTTGGGAACAGTGTCATCAAGTGGTCTTTGCAATCATATCTGATTGGGACCAGCCCCTCAGCAACCACAAAATACGTGCTCAAACACCCACCCCACAGCAACCAATGCCCTGCTGTGTGGGGCCTCTGCCTGACACCCATGGCCACGCAGAGAAATTCAACCCTCAGGCCCGCTTGGGCCAGACACCTGGCTGTTGCTCCCGTCCATCCGTATTTCTTTATTTCCCCTTTACGCCAGGCAATCGGCTGTTCTGGGAGGACCAGGCACAGGGCAGTGTCTCAACTTGGGACAGCAAATGCGAGGGCTCGTGGCCCCCAGGGACGGGCACTACTGAGCCAGAAGGAGAAGTACTCCTCTCTAGACACCGGGCTCACCCCTTGACACAGCATCCCCCGCCAAAGAGGGGGACTCTGGACGCTTCCCCATGGCTTCCAGGACATGCAAACACGGCCTTAAATAACACTGGGAGAAAATCAGTCCGTTTCACTGCTCTTTCAATCCTTCTGAGGGAGTCAGCATTCAGGGATCGTCCGTCCTCAGCGCCTCTCTGCCATCTCCCCGTCTCTCTCTAACAATAGGGAGCAGCCTCAGAGGCTCTGTGGGCACAACAGGTGCTTGGTTCACAGGCACTTCACTGATGGCATGTGACACTTGTTTTCCAATTGTGGTAACCACATATGGTTTCCTAAATTGATTTCCAGCTTTAAAAAATGAGAAACAGTAGGATAGTTCAAGATAAACAATAACGTGAGAGATACGGGGCTGTGGCAAACTGATTCGTGGCTAGGAAGCAGTCTTCACTGTCTGTACCGCATGCACTCCAAGCATTCTTCCAAGCACGCAGTGTCCCATTCAGTGCCCTCAGACAGCAGGTCAGCACGTGCACGGCATACTCCCACACGACCCCGCAAGGTCCCGCGGACGCACCGGATCTGGCTGGTCTGCTCTTCGATGGCCTCCACCGCACTCTCCACGGAGCTCAGCAGTGACTGGATCTGATTGGCTGTCTCCTTCAGGAGGAAGCGCGTCACAAACTGGTCCACGTTGCTCCCACCCTCGTACACCTGTGGAGGGAAGGGAAAGGGCACAGAGGGGGAAGGGGCTCGGGAGGGAACTTGGCTGTGGGTCTGGCACAGAGTTAGGGGGGGACCTGCGGTGGTGTCTCTGCCTTGCAGTGGGAAGTGGGGACCCCATTGTCTCCTGAACTTGGAGGGTGTACAGCTCCTGCATCAAGGCAGGGGCTATGGACTCAGAGGCCAAGTTTGAACCCTGGCTTCACCACTTACTAGCTCTGTGAGCTCGATGACCATAACAGGAGTCACTGTGGTATCTATCTTACAAGGTCGTAGTGAGGATTGAATGACAAAATATACATAAAATGCTCAGCACAGTGCCTGTCACATAGCAAATACTCAATGAACAGTAGCTGCTATGATAAAGATGATGATGTTGATAATGATGATGGTGATAGTGGTGGCAGTGATGATGACAATGGTGATATGATGATGATGAGGATGGAAGTGGTAGTGATGTTGATGGTGAAGATGGTGGTAGTGATGATGGCACTGATGATGGTGGGCGATGGTGGTGCTGGTGGTGGTGTTGCTGGTAGTGGTGATGATGGTGACTGGTGGTGGTGTTCTTGATGTGGTGTAGACAGGGATAAAGTATTAGGGAAGAAGAAGTCCCAACCTCCTCTCCCTCCTTCCTCCTCCAAGGAGGATTCTTTGGGTCCCTGGGCCTTCATGCTGCTACTCAGAGAAATGAGAGAAGACAATTAGAAGCAGCCAGAGAGGCTGGCTCCCCAAAGAAAGTGCCTGAGGTTCCGTCCTCAGAAGGAGGGGGTGAGTGGGGAGTCAGGGAGAAACTGAGACTTAGCGGCCACAGGATGAGGAATTCTGGGGCAAAGATGGGCAAAGAGGGTTTTCCACAAATCCTGCAATGTGGTGTGATACAGAATTTGCCCCTTTGTCAAGAGTCTACAGCAAAGACATTTCTAAGGTTTCTGGATCCAGCTGAGTTTCTCTGGGCTTCAAAATGCTTTACAGGGAAGGGAGGGAGCTCTGCTTAGTCAGGTCACTCAAGGATGGCAACGATCAAAATGACGCCGTGTTGGGAATGCTGGTCCTGCCCTCTCAGCTCCTGTGCCAAGACCCCACCCTCCTGAGCCACCTGCCCCGGCACCTTGGAATTCTGCCCAGTCCCTGCAAGGCAAGAAAACAGGGCTCTCGAGGAAAGCAAGTGAAAACATCCATCACTCTCTGGGAATTAATTATCAATAACTGCACATGGGAGACACAGCTAGAGACAGAGAGACTGAGCAACGGAGGCAGAAATGGATACAGGGGTGGAGAGAGGCCAAAAGGAGAGGCACACAGACAGGGAGGCACAGAGATGGACACCCTGTGCCAATCACCAGACCAGGACGCGGGAGACAGGCCCTGACAGAGAATGAATGTGTGGCAGAAAGTATGTCAGGTTCTGGAAGCCTAATGCATTGCAACTATCGATTATCCTTCCTAGCAGACGGTGGACCCACACACAGCCCAGTGATCAATGGCCTCTGGACAGCGAATGGCCGAAAACGAACAAGACAATGTGGTAAGAAATTTGAACACAAAGAGAAAGGCTGCCAGACGCCATCAAGCAGAAAAATGAGCTGAAGTGTGTTAAAAGCACCCAACCAATGACTGAGGGTGTGGTCAGGGGTCAACATGTACCTGGCTAGCTGAATTCCAAAAAAAGAGAAGTTAGTTTCAAAGGAGTAAAAATGTAGCTTTCACAGATTTTTCCTCCACCCCAATCGATACCTCAGCCAAGAGCCCAGCTCCACACACCCCAGAGGAAAAGGACCAGATCTAGGAATGGTGTGTCACGTGGCCGACCTACTTGTTTGCAGTATAATAGGTAGATATTCAGAAATCTGCAAATCTCTGAAATTTTATCAGATGAGCACCTTTCCTGCAAAGAACGCCTAAGGACGTCTCCCAATTTCTCATCTGGGGTTGAATTTGAGGAAGAATCCTTGAATGGGGAAGTTGTGGAAAGAGGTGTCAGTGATCACCCACACTCAACATAAAGGTTACAGAGGTCAAGAAATAAAACATGCATCACTCATCGTTCAATTTCAATCACACTGGATTAAGTCAATAAAGAGTGTGAAAGTATGGAGAAAACAGATGAAAATCCAAAAAACTCCTTTAATTCCACAAAATGCAACAGAAAGCACTTTTCTAATTAGCTAAATATAAAAACAGAAGAATGTTAAGAACGTGTGATCAGAAGTCACCAGTAAAATAAAAATGAGAATGTTTACCTTCAAAATCATAATCAACGCTATAAACAAAACAGAAGGTAAAATGTCAAAGAGACGAAGGAAGCGTAAAAGATTATGACAGCAGCCAGACCACATGGATCACAACAACAAAGAAATCAGCCTGAATTCCCCCACGTAAAGACACAGTCGCTGATTGATGAAAGGAGGTCCAGCTGGAGGCACGTCTGAACCAAGACGGCACCCAGGGATTTACAAAGAAAAGCCAGCGCAAGGATTCTGCCACCAGATTTGATCAAATGAACAGGACAAGTTGCAATATCACTAGGAGGGAGAACTTCAGTGAGAAAGTCTGGCACAGGATAAGGGTAAGAACAGAACGACAAAGCCGGCGTCATAACAAGGACAAGACACTGAAACCTTCAAGCCACGGGACAGGATATTGCCATAAACACGGCTGTGGGGATTGGGATGGATACGACCACATTAAAAAGCGATTTTGCTTTATATCAAGAGGCTTACACTGCTCATATTCTTCGACCCAGTAATTCTCCACTTTTGATAATCTATCCTTGAGACATAAGGCAAAATGTGAATATTTACGCCCCAAGTTTACAGTATTATTCATAACAGCGAAAACCTGGCAATAATCTAAAATGCCCAACAACAGAGAAATAGTTAATACATTTAAATAAGAATATTTAAAAGGATGCTTTTGAACAGTTTTAATAACATGGGAAAAGCGTTTTTAAAATATTAGATGAAAAGAAACAGAAAATAAATTTCTGTACACAGAATGGTATTAAGTATATTAAAGAAACATACACAGAGAAAAGGCTCAGAGGGAACGAACTAAAATGTTGACAGTGGTTAGGGAAAGTGGGAATTAGAAGTGATTTGAAATTTTTCTTTATACTTTTCTCTACTTCCTAAATTTTGCATATTGAATGTGGACCATTTATATAATAAAAACATTCTAATAAAGGTCTATAGGTATCAAATAACATGGCTAAATATATAGAAAGGAAAAACATTAGAAATATAAAGATTAAATGACAAAATCCAACTTAGTGTGAGAAATTAGCTCATCGTTGTCCCATAGGACAGAAGAAGTAACCAAAAATAAACAGGGATGCAAAGCATATCGTCAGGAGAGTGTGCAAGTCTTTAAAATGGGCAAAAAAGATGACTGCGTTTCCTGTCGAGCACACCCAGTGGATTAACTAAGTCTTTCCTCGCTCTGGAGCTCCTTTTAAAACTGTAAAATGTAGAAAACTGATGATAACGCAAATAATTCTCATCCTCAGAAATGCATATGAATTTTGCCCAGTAGAATGCAACGGATTGTTGCCCTGTGGATAGCAACCAGTTTTGCATTTATTCGCAAATCCATTTCATTATTCCTGGTTGCCTGTATACACCGCGTGGGTTCTTTGAATTTTCCTTTGAGGCAGCCGTAACATCTTATGGTTCTCACATTAATGGATGAGTTAAATAAAATCTCTGTCATGTGCATTTTATATTTGTACAAGAGACACAATTTTACCTCTTTACAAAGTTGTCTTTTCACAGCATATATTTCATAACAAAGAAAGGTTAGCTATTTTCCAATTTTATATTCTGAAAGTACCGTCCACATCTTTTCTCAAGCATCCATGAGATAATTATAAAAACAAATCAAATAAGATGTAATGAAGAAATCTCGACACATTAAAAAAAATAGACTAGAACTATCAGTCACTCGGTTTTATCCTAACACCATGAAACGAGAAATGAGTGAGGACATAACAGATTATTGGGGAATATTGAGAGAGGCAATAGTACATATTAAAATCTACGATTGCAGTGAAAGTATCATTCAGAGGTTAAATTTTTAAAATTCCAAACTTCATATCACAAAAATTTAAGTATTCCATTTCACATATGAAAAAGAATAGCAAGAACAAGAAATCTGAGGAAATAGGAAGAAGGTAATAACAGTGGTGAAAACTATAAATGTGGTTGAAAACATGAAATTTAAATAAATGTGTCAGTGGCTGGTTATTAGAACAACTAATTAAAACAGGCAAAATTCTGCCAAATATAAGTTTTTAAAATGTAGCAAAATAGGACAAAAATTAAAATAAGACCTGAGCTATAACAGCAGAAATTTTTGAACTTAACCTGCATTAAGCGCCTCTTTTGTGTCAATGATTTAGATTTTTTTTTAAAAAAATCATAAGAACATACTATGCATAATTGATCACAAAACTGAACACATCAGTAGTTTTGTTTAAAAATATACTAAAATGGACACAAAAAGTAAAAAACTAAAACCAGGGTTGACCTTAAAATAACTTTTAAAATAATCTCCTCCCCTCTTTAGCACCTCGACCCAAGCCTTATGGATAAATTCTTTCGACTTTTGAATAGAAAAATGATTCTATGTTAGAGAAGCTGAATTACACAGAGGAAATATTCAAAACTGCCTCACAATTCATCCCAAAATTACCATCCAATCTCAATTCTCGATAGAGACAGAGATAAAACACTCAGCGAGTGACAAGGATTTAGCAGCGCGATCAAAGAATAATGCACCAATTAGGGTTTATCACAGGAAGCTAAAAATTGTTCAATAGGACAGAATCTAATAATAGAATCCACCCCATCAATAGCTTCAGAAAAATCAGATGATCGTTTAAAAATGCCAAAAAGGCATTTGAAAAGATTCACTACCATCTCCTAGGATGAAATTTAGTGAAGGGAAGGCAAAAATATTTTTTAACAGGCTGAAGAAGATTCTACAATAAGAGCTGGTATTAATATTATAATTGGTGGAGAAATACTAGAGAGGGGCCTGGAAAATCAGGAGGAAAACAAGGATGCCTCACGGAGCATCATTACAGGGATTTAGAACTTGGGGGAGATGCTAACAGCGCCCAACAGAGAAAGAGGAGGAACACAGATCAGAAACGAGGAAGGTACCACCGCGGGTAACTGACGCCATCACTTCATATCAACAAAAGCAGCAGAGTCAACTAAAATCAGGGGCTGCAAGAGAAGCACTGGAACCCACACTCAGTGAGCTGCATTTCTACAAACAAAAATCCATGAGAAAATAGCCAGAAAAAGTAATGGCAACCAGCACTGCCACAACCTCCACCGAGAACACGCCAACGTCCCACGCGCATGACTTCTGAGAGCAAAATCTCCAGAGCTGGTCTAAATCATAGTGGTAGCAGTCACCATCCTCTCCTTGAGGGAGAATTAGGTCACCTCTCTGAAGAGTGATGACTAAAGACGAGAAAGCAGCCAAGGATGTTAGCAATGCCTCGCAAAAACACTGCTGGGAAGTGGCCCCATGCAGAGAAGAGAAAGCTGAGGCTCCAGGAGGCGGCGTCAGTGGCCAGCAGTCCCATGTGAGCATCCAGTGCACCCCCAATGGCGGAGCTGGGGCGGATGCCCTTGTCGGGGTGACTCGGGTTAGAGTCTGGGGTCTTTCTGAGCTCCCTTCTAATCCTCGGTCCACCCTGATACTTTCAGAATATCCAACAAGAGTCTACAGGATGAACAAAGAAAGAGAATCGGTCTCACATGATATTAAAATAAACTTTAAAACACTGGACTGAGAAGAGCAGGACGCTGGGACAGAGATGGAGATGCAGCCGAGTGGAGGCTCCGGGTCAGGCCCAGCTACTTTCGGATATATGGGAAGAAAGGCATTCTCTAAGGCACGGCAGAGCTGTAACCGAGCAGCACTTGAAAAAAACGTACAGGATTGATCGTTCCCACGTCTGGGCATACAACAGGAGCCTAATAATAAAAACTGGTGGGCACCTTCGCTCTGTGCCAGGCCCTGTTTGGAGAAGCTCAGAAGCCTGCCTTCATTCAATCCTCAGAAGGACTCTATAAGGTGAATGCTCCCATCTCACAGACGGGGAAACTGAGGCCCAGAAAGGGAAGAGACTGGCTCGGGGTCCTTCAGTCAGGTCTGGCTGACTTTACCAGCTAAGCTCTCCGGCCTCAACCAGCAGATGGCCTTTTCTGAGCTCCCACAGCTCAAGGTTGCTGGTAGGCTGCACGCCCGCCCGTGGGCATCTATGTGTCCCTCACAGTGTGGCCAGCTCCCAGATCCCTCCCTGTGTGCCTTGGTCAGTGTGCCCAAGCGGCTGCCCCCGCTCCTGGCAGACTGACCCTCCAGTCACCCCTGGGTGGGCCTGGAGTCCCATGCTGTGCTCCTTACTTCCTGCTAGGTCCCTGACTCCATTTCCCCTTTCATTTCAGCCTGCAGCTTTTGGCTGCAGGATTCACCCTTCTGAGCCTGTTTCCAGAGCTATGAAATGGGGGAGGTGACTGCAGCTCCCCACGGGGCTGCAGAGGTCCTCAGGAAAATTAGTACCCTCTTCTCTGTGGGTGCACAGAAGGAACACAGCTGCCTGTCTCTCCAGAAGCCGCCAGCCCCGCGGGGGTGTAGACTCAGGGGGCATGAAGCTCGGGGGATGGGCTGCTGCTGCCCATCTGAGCGACAACGGAGAAGGCACAATGACGCCCAGCCCACAAGCTGGCCCCGTCTCCCTGCCTTCTGTCCTCCCCCGGGGCACGCATGCAAACACGGGGCGACAGGCCTGTGGGCAGACTTCACACCACATTGGAGGTCTCCCTCCGGGCACATAGGGAAGCCCTTAGCTCAGCACCGACCCCTGCTCCTACTGGTTCTACCGCCCAGCTCACGTCTCCCTCCCGGACGCGCACCCTTTCTCCCAGACACCATCAGATTCCTTGGTCAAGTTCAGATGTGTGAACCCGCCCCTCACCCTCCCCTTCCCATCGGGTAACCCTGCTGTGGGAGGGCATGAGACTGACAGGGATGACACCTGTCCAAGGACCCTGGAGGGCTGGGGGTGACTGCAGCTCTGTTTCTCCATCCCAGGACCATGCCTGATTCTGGGAGAGGGCCTCACGCTCCAAACCAGACACTGGCTGGACAGGGCCATTCACCAAGCTGCTCCCCTCACTTCACAGTTTATCTCAGCTCCCTCTAAGAGCCCCAAGTAAAGTCCACCCGAGACCCAGGCCCACCCAACACTTGTCATCACAAATCCAGGCACCCATGGGTGAGGATGCTCTAGAGAAAATCTGAAACCAAACCAGCATTCAGGCCTGGGACCCCCAGGGCCACCCATGGCCGCTGACCTTCTTGGTGTAGCCCATGGCCTTCAGGACAGAGTGATTCAAGGTCTCCAGAGAGGCCAAGACATCTTCATAGTCCCCCATGTGGTCCACAAAGTAATCTGGGGAAGGGGAAGCAAAGGTCACGGGTCATAGGAGGATTCTCCCCTCCCCCGGGGCCCTCCCACCAATCCCGCCTAGGCCCCCCATGGGCTCTCCCCAGTTCCAACAACCCCCACCCCAGTCTTGGTCTCCCATAGCCGGGTGCCTACCACACAGCTCCTTGGTGTCCACATGGCTGCCGAGAGAGAGGAGGGGGGAGACTCAGAGCAGGCCCATCCGGCCTGCCCCACGCGGCGCACCCTGTGCCCGGCACCGGGCACCCCACTTTACAGCGGAGGGTGCAGCAGGTAAACGATGCCGCTCCCTCTGAAGGACGGAGCAGGACTCCATCGCTGTCTGCACGTCTGTCTGACCCCATCACCAGGTTTCCCCTCCCAAGGTCTGCGACCACGTCCTCAGCCAGCAAAAGGGAGGGGAGAGGAACAGGGTCCCCTGACGATTATGGGATGTCAATAAAGCTCTCATGTGATGCGCTGCCCCGGGGCACCCCCGCCTGCAGGGTCCTGAGACAGCCCTCCTTGTTCTCGCCCCAGCCCGGGGGCCCGCATCCCCATCCCTGCAGGGTGGAGAAGGATCCCGTCCTTCCTCGGAGGAGGCTGGCACGAGAAGGCCACCACGCGGGTGACGACGGTGCGCGCAGCAGCCTCAGGACAGAGACGTGAGGGTGGGGCGTGCTGGGGGCGGGTTCTGATAACCCTCCCTTTCGGGGCCCAGTTCCCTCACTGAGAGAGGAGGGGGAACCCAGGTTCAACAAGACCCTTCTGGGAAATGGCTCCCGGGGCCAAATGAATCTGGGCTCAGAGGCCCTGCTAGCTCTGTCTTGGAGGTTCCCTCAGTTCACATCGCATACTAAAGGTTCTGACAAGTCCTGCAGAAAGGAGGCCTGTTTAATTGTGCTTGAACTAGCGTTTGCCCCATCTTTCTGATCCGCGTGAACTGTTCTTGGCAGAAAGCCTACGTAGCACCCAAAGAGTGAACCCTTGCCGCTCACGCTCTGGGGAATGTCGGAGAACAGTCCTAGAGGCCTTTAGAGTTTTGACTTTCTCTAACGGTGAGTCCACCCTGCCCCCCTCACACACTCTCATGGTTAAATTCTCAAACAGCACCTCCGTGTCCCTCCCCCCAGCTGGCCTGATGCCAAAGGCCCCAAGAGAGAATCAATAAATCAGTAGGCACCTGCCTGGGCCCTTTCAAAGCTCCCGGGGGCGGGGTGCTGCAGGAACCCTCAGAAATTCCATCTGGCTCCAAACAGCCCTTCCCTGGGGAAGCTGTGTCCTTCTAGTGGCCTCCTGGACAAGGACACTCGCTCCACCTGCTCCACCCTGGTCCCCAGCGCCCACCTCCCAGGACACTCTCAGCCCCAGTCTGGGGTCCAGGCCACCACTGCGCTGGGTCCCTTGCAAATGGGCCTGATGGCAGCTTCTGGTCCAGACCACCTCTAGCCTGTCTCAGGGGACGCCAACTGAGCAAAAGTGCCCCAAGCAGGCCTCATGACTCAGGCCCTCATCACCTGAGTGGGCCTGAGGAAGGCGACCAGGTGTGGGGCGGAGAAGGGGGTTGGGCCTCATCCTGCTTGGGGAACCCAAGGAAAGGGTGAGGCTGGAGCTAAGGCTGGGGTGGGAGGGGGTAACTTTGAGCAAAATGAGTGCTTTCACTAGATTTAGGGATGGGTTGGATGTCTGGAGTTTCTGGATGATTCTGGGACGCACGCAGGTTCAGGTTACGATCGGGTTGGAGAAAAGGTGCAGAGTTAGAAGCAGGGTCGAGGGCAGAGTTAGGATCAGGATTTGGTTATGGTTTGTTTGAAGACGGGATGGGTGAGGCTCAAGGTCACAGGGTTACCGCTGGGACTGGGAACAAGCACGGGGCGTGGGGTCAGGACTGGGGTCAGCAGAAGGCCAACGTCACTGCCAACATCCCCTTTTCATTATCTTGTGCACACTCTGCAAAATCTAGGGTCCCTCCCTGCCTGGCCACGTGTGCTCAGAAGAGACCCACTTGCCAGCGCAGCATCAATCTGCCCACTCCCCAATCATCACGGGGGGCCGTGGGGGCTAAACGGAGCTGACTTTCAGATGAGCAGGTTTGGGGGTTCTCAGGTCTCTGGATCCTCCAGGGGAGTGGAAAATGGGGAGTGGGCCGTGGGTGAGAAGGAAGATGCCCCTCCTCCCCAGCGACGGGGGAGGTGGGTGGATGGGGCTCACTTGGTGTTGTCAGAGTCGATGGTGTGGAAGAGATCCTCCAGCTCCTTCTCGTTGAGGACGCCATCTGCAAAGAAGAGCTGGAACTCCTCCAACGACAACTTCCCGTCATCTGCAAAGAAGGGAGGGCGGAGGGAGGGCAGCTGGCGTCTAAGAGACAGGACGTCCCCAAATCCAAACAGTTCCCAACCAACAGATACGCCCCGTCAGATAATCCCCACCCGCCCAGCTGACTCCCAAATGGACCTGTAGATTCCAGGGCACAGAGAAGCAGACCCATCCAGCTGGTCCCCAAACCAAGAGACCAGCCCCTAAGTACAGATGATCCCCACACTGACACAGACGACGACCAGCAGCGGCTAGTGTGCTGGGGCTCGCCATCAGGCACTCAATGGACGGAGAGCACCTCTCCATCGATTAGCCTGACCGCCCGGAGGAAGGCACCAGGTGAGGTGGGGGCACTCCTTTGAGAGGCAGGTCCAAAGCCGGCCAGTCTGATGGCCGCTCTCCCTTGCTTCCGAATGCCCCATAACCTCCCCACATGTCAATCATTCCCAACCCCGGCTCTCAGCTGCTGATGCTCGAGAGGGAACCAGCCCTCTCCATGCTGCCCATCCACACGGCAAGCCTCAGGCCTGAACCTTCGCACGGTCTGACGTGGGACGGCTGCCAACAGCCGGCACGGAGTTCTCCCACTGCCATACACACAGTCCTGAAGATGCCAAACCACGAGGGAAGGAGGTGCCCGGCCCTCCTGGGGGCTGGGGGCTGCGGTTCTGGGCTGGGGAGGGGGCGGGCTCACAGCCGATGTACCGATCTGTCCCACCCATTTCCCTCCGTCTCACCTCTTCTCCCTCCACTTGCAGTCGCCCTGCCCCGGGTACCACCATCTGCTGAGGATGATCTCATGGGTGGGGGGTAGATGGGCCACTGAGGGAGGGGCTCAGGGCAGAACAGCAGTGACAGGAGGAGTGGCAGTCCCCAAGCTTCCACCCTCAGCTCCTCCCACAGCGCCCACCTGCCAGGGAACTCCTGCCAGCTGATCCCACCCCCCTGCAGCCATCACCCTCTCCTCAGTGATCTTAGAACGGTTCCTGCTGCTCCTTAAAGGAGCCGAGTCTGTGGGAGGCAGAGGAGGTCAGGGAGCAGGGCCAGCCCAGGACACTTCTGACCCCCAGCCCCTCTACGCAGACCCCCTTCTATTACCTCCAGCCAGTCTGCAATCAAAGTCTCTGCCAGCCCACATGGCACCTTTGTGTGGATTACAAAGAGATGCCCCTCAGGGCTGGTGTGGGATGGAGCCCAGTGTCAGGGCACGTGGGCTGGGAGCGGAGTGCAGACTGGATCTGAGGCCCCCAGTTCCTGCCGGTAGTTGCTCTTGTGCAGGGCACAACCTGCCCAACCACACATGGCAGACGTACTTGGGCCCAGAGTGGAAGTCGTTCTGATGTTGTCAAGACTCCGGAGCTTCTATCTCTGTCCCCAGCAGCTCTATGGGGGCTCAAAGAGGGGCAAAGGGACGAGCTCAGGAGGGGAAGAGCCTCACCTCTCGCCACAGCTGCCCTCCACCAGTCTCCTCTGGTTGCATAAGCCATAAAGTATCAGGGGCTGGGAGAGAGGGGGAAGGTGTGCGCATGTGCACAGGGGGCTGTCCCCGTGTGCCTCGACACCCCGGCTCAGGCTTCAATGCCGCAGAGGGAGAACGAACCTGTGACTTTCAAAAATAAGAGTGCCTCCCGAAAACCAAACAATGACCCCCAGCTCCACATACAAAAGACCCAGAAGCCATGAGAACCACGTGACACCAGCTGTAAATGCGGAAACTCGAAGGCTGGGGTGTTTGCATTCTGTGAAAGGGGAGACTCTCCAAGTTTCCTTTGGCAAGACCCATGATAAACCAGGAACCATGGTGCAGAGATGCAGACACACGGAGCTCCTGCTGCATACTCAGTCTTCACAACACCCCACAGCATCAGCAGTACCACCGCCCCCATTTTACAGAGCAGTAAACTGAGGCACAGAGCAGTTAAGGGACTTGCCCAGGTCCCACAGCTGGAGCTTGAACCCAGGCCATCTGGCTCCTGAGTCCATGCTCAAAAGCCAACCCGGGGCAGCGTCTTGTGGGGAGAGCCCCAGCCACAGGGCTCCATGGAAAAGTCCAAGTCTGGACTCAGTGGAAGCGTGCTGTGATTGATTAGTCATGTCTGCCATGGGCACAGTAAGGGGTCTGCCCCTGGCTGCCATCTCCCTGCCTCCCTCTCCTCCTGCCTCCCCCTCCTCCTGCCTGTCTGGGCACCACCATCCAGTCTGCACTCAGGACAACAGGCAGAGAGAGGCCGGCCAGGCCACCTGAGCACAAAGCCTTCCCGGCTGACCTTTCCTTGTAATATCCCACTGTGGCCCTAATGACCCCAGATCAGCTAACGAGGGGAGCGGCATGTCCCACCCAGGCCTCTGCCCAATTAGACAAGGGGCCTGGCACCCCTGCTGCCAGCAAGGACCCCGAGTGGGGCTGTTTGCAGGTGTCTTCACTAATTAGCATGAGCTCAGCCTCTGTCGCAGCGACCTTTCAAACGCCAGGAGCCTGCTAGTGTGCGTGTCCCCGGAGAGAAGCGCAGCCTGGCCCTCACTCCTCTGCCAGCGCCACACGTCACCACCCTTCTGGGTTTCATGGCCCACGCGGAGGGCAGGCCCCTCATGCTCAGCTCCCCTCGGCAGCCAGGCCCGGGCTGCTCCTCCTAGCAGAAGTCTCTGCCCCGGGAGCCACAGGACAGGCCAGCCCGCGATCCCAAAGGCCTCCACTCCAGCCCTGAGCCTGGTTTAAACCACCCGCCATCTTCTGCCCCTACGCATCTCGCTCGGTGTGCTACACAATTGTGTGTGTGTGCTGCTCTCTCTCTATGAACGTCTCCACCCCCCTTCATCCCTCCGTCCCTCCATCCTCACGCCCCTTCCTCCCCCGACCCCAAATGACGTTTTCAGGCTGTGCTGGGCTGAGGCAGACGGGCCTGCATGGCCCCCAGCTGAGGGTCGGCAGTCCTCCATCGGCTGGCTCCCAGCCCGGCTTTCGTTGGCTGTAAAAAGGGGGTGATGCTTCCCATCCCAGGGGAGCAGAGTGAAGATCAAAGGAGAAAGTCTACTGAAGTCCTGGTGCAGAAGAGATGCTCGGCGGCCATTGGCAGCCTCCCCGAGACGGGGAGCTCCCCGTGGAGCGCTGGGTGGGAGTCAAACACCTGCTGACAAAGCAGGGTCCACTTTCCCGGGCGGTCGAACCTCATCAGCCGGTCCCAGGGCTCAGATTCCTCTCAGGGAGCCTGCTATGCCCGGAGCGCCCCTCTCCATTCTCCTGACAGCCCCCTGAGGTGGGTACCACTATCATTATCCCCACTTACAGATGGGGACACTGAGGCCCGGAGAGTTTGGGGACTGGCCTTTGTCACTGGGCTGGCAGCTGGCTCAGCCAGGACCTGAAGCCAGCCATTCCCTGGGACAGAGGAGGGGCCCCACCTCCTTCTCACAGGCTCCAGAAGCTCCCCGGACCCAGCATCACACCCACATCAACCCTGGTGACAACCTGCCACAGCCACTCGGCGGTGGCCGGGAAGACTGAAGGCTCTAAGGGGAGGGGTGAGCTCGGCCTCTGTGGGGGCTGCAGAAGCGAAGTCGAGGGTCCCCGCAGCTGTGCTCAGGGGGTGGAAACATGGCTTCTGACAGGGGGACAAGAAAGGAGGATGAAACCCCATTTGTGCCTGAAGGGAGACCAGCGTGCCACCCACCCACCCACACAGGCAAGCTTGCACACACACAGACACACACACACTCTGCAAAAGTTCCTACAGAGCCGCACAACCAGAAAGACCCCCCCCCCACACACACACACATTCGGAAGTGCAGCACCAGTCACAGAGCACGGCCCCCCAGACCTGCAGCGGTGTACACACTCCACAGCGCGGACGGAGACCCGCAGGCGGACCCCCACGGCTGCACCCCGGTGACATGCACGCACAGCTACGCTCCCACCGAGGAATAAAGCCATTCCCCGTAAGCCCAGACATTTACTGAGTACCTGCTGGGTGCCAGGTATCGGGCCCATGACACGGACAAACCTGCATTCCTACCTGTGAAGACCTCGCGACCTGCTGGAGGGGCCCGGCCAGCACACGGCGGTGGCCATGCAGCCCCGGGCTGGCCGCCCAGTGAAGATGCTAGAGGCCCTTAACCACGTCCCTGATGTTTAATGCTGTTCAGGACACGATGCCACAACCATTTCTCCAGGGCCACTGAAGGTGCCCCCACATCTCTCTCCTTCCTCTGTATGGAATTGCTGCCAATGGTCCTTCATCCCAAGAGGCCTAGGAGGGTCCACGGTCACGCCCAGGCATAGGGGGCAAGAGATGGAGAGCCCTGGAACTGCCTTCCAGCCCAGGCCTGTGCACCCCCCACCCCCAAAAGCCTCTTCTTCGCCCAGCACCATTGGGGGACAGGTCCACACCAACCCCCTGCAGGGAGGGAGGGAGGTGCTGGGGCCCCGGGCTAGAGCCACCACCATGAACTGTAGCCTAATGGGAGAGGCACGGGGGCCTGATGCTTTGGGGGACCTGAGGGCCCATGGGGACAGGCAGCAGGTCATCTGTCCCCAGCACAGGCCTTGATTCTCAATCAGCGTTTTCTCAACGAACAAACACGGAGCATGGCTTGCTTCTCTTTTTATCAAAGTTTGTCACTCAGCTGCCTCCTTGCAATTCCCCAACAGCCCAGGGCAAGAGACAGGTTAGGGGTTACCACCCCACTCTACAGATGGGGAAACTGAGGCCTGGAAGGGGCCCTGGTTAAAGCGCACGGAGAGTGCTTGGGGCCCGAGAATAATGACCATGGTATTTAGATGAAGTCGTACCGCTCTCTGTTTCAACGGGGAGCCTCAGGCTCAGGAGGGCTTGGTAAACTTCTCAGGCTCTCCCCCACCCACCACCACCCCCTGCCTTCCTCCTGCAGGGTGGAGCTGTTCCAAGAAGTCAGGACAAGTGGAGTGTCATAAATGCACTGGCCACAACAATGTGCTGCTCACATTGTTGGGGAGGCTGCATGATGTGGTGAGAAGTGCCGGGGGTCTGCGGGAGAGCCTTGACTGCCTTCCTGTGGCTGGGCAACCTTGGGCATGTCACTTAACCTCTCTGGGCCACTATGGAGTTGACAGCACCGACTGCAGCAGGTTGCTGTGAGGAGGAGATGTGCCCAGGCCTGTGAAGAAGTGAGTGAGGCTGGGAGCTTCCCAAAGGGTGGTCTCTGGACCCCCACCTGGGCTGCCTTGATCCAGCCCAGCTGCGTAAGGGTTAACGTACACCAAGTATGTACTACGACCAAGACGTCTCCACCACACAGACATCAACTGGTTGAATCTTCACGGCATCCCTCCCTACTAAGTAAGAACTCTGGGAGTCCCATTGTACAGATGGGGAAACTGAAGCACAGAGCCAGGACGCAACCTTCTGACTTCAGGGTCCCGCACTCTTAACTTTTAGGTTCATGGGTGTCCATGTCCTGTGTCTGAGCCCTTTCCCTGAAGCATCGGGACAGAAAGAACCAAGTCCTCACTCAGGCGACCGCCCCGGAGGGAAACTCACCATTTTTGTCCGCACGTCGGAAAATCTGCAGAGAAGAGAGGTCGAGTCAGCCTGGAGCCGGGCGCGGCAGGCGCCCTCCAGAGGTTCGCACTGTAACTGAGACCCCTCCCGTCCCAGGGGCCCTGGGGAAGCTGAGGCCCCCTCCCCCGCCCCGCGGGGAGACCCCGGGGAGGGATGTGGCAGGCGGAGGCCCCCAGCCGCCCGCGGGGAAGGAGCCGCCCACTCTCCCTTCTGCGCCGCCTGCCTGCCCACGGGCACGCGGACAGACGCACGCACACGCGCGTGGACAGGCTCATGGCCATCCACATGCTTGCGGGTGGACGTCCAGAGCCATCGGTCCCCGCGGCTTCATCCACTGTCCGATGCTCAGTCGCACACTCAGAATTTGTGTCCCAGGGACGCACCCACACGCCTTACACCATCACACCTCTCCCAGAACCCCTCGGGAGCCCGGGTTTTCTCCAGGGAGGGTGGGTTAGGTCTGATGGAAGGGGTCCGCTAACAGAACCTCGGGGCCTGGCACCTGGAACAGCCACGGGCAGGACTGGATTATTTTTGGGGTGGGGGAGTGGGTGGAAGCAGGCTGCCAGAAAACTAGTTGCAGATGCAAAGTTCTGGCTGCATCAGGAGGGGGTGGGGGAGGGGATGGACGCATGGGGGAGGGGACAGCCCAACCCCTCCCCCCTAAGCCTGAGCTGAGACCAGATCAGTCTCCTCTTGCTACTTTTGGGACCAGGTAAGTCAGGCTGATGGAAGGAGGTGGGGGACGCACTAGCCCCTGTGACCTTCCCACCTTGGGTCCTTGCCTTGGTGCCAAGGGCAGATGCCCCCATCCCTCCAAGCAATGGGGTGGGCATCCATTATCAGCACCTGAGGCTGGGACAGACTGAAGCAGGGAGAGCTTCTCAAACATCACCCCCCTCCCTCAGCTGAACCCCGACTCCGGCATCCTGGGCAGGAGCCACCGTGGCTGGGGCAGAAAGGGAGGCAGTTATGGGACCGCCCCCCAGGCCCTCGTCAGCCTGGGCACCCCACAGCCCTGCTCCTGACTGCAAGGTCCCTGAGGCGGGGGTCCCACCCTCAGGTGCTGCTCTGGGCTTGGGTGTTGAACAAGTGAGTGACAGGACCACAGCGGATGTGGCTCAGGGAGTCTGCACAAGCCTGTGAGCCCCCCACGCCCGCTCATCACCCCATTTCCCAGATGAGGAAATGGAGGCTCAGAGTCGGGGCCCAGCCAGCATGAGGAGGACTCGCAGCCCACCTCCTGACCGGCAGAGAGAATCAGGCGGGGTCGGACCAGGCGTTCCTGCAAGGGCAGGCCTAGGTCTCGGGACCCCTGCCCCCCAGGGCTTTCGGTGTGAACTCCGCTGGGGTCTCCAGAGAGAGGGGCCAGCTGCACGAGTGTGTGGCTGTGTGTGCGTGTGTTTGGGGGCACTCACAGCACAGCTCTCCCTTCCCTGCCCAGCCCTCTCCGCCCAGAGTCCACGATGGGCTCCAGGAGAGAGGAAACCCACGCTCCCCCATGCTCACAGGGATGTGCAGTACACACACCCAACTCTCCCAGAAGCCCACCAGGCACACGAGAAGCACCCCATGCCCCGGCCACCCACCACACAGAACCCTCACCAGGACATGCCCATCCCACCGCGCTGCTCTCATTGTGGGGGAAGGGGGGACCCCAGGATGAAGCCCCTCGCCTCCCTCCCAGCAGGACAGGGGAAGTCTCCCACGCAGCGACCATCCACCCTGCAGAATCTCCCTCCGGCCCAGGGGAGTGGGGGTGAGGGTGAGGTGCAGGTTTGGGTCCCAGAGGGGATGGGGGGCGAGTAGAGGGAGGGTGGGAAGGGAATGGAGGACAGAGGGGCCTCGGAGTGGAGTGGGGTGGCTGGAGGGAGCCCAGGGGGTCCCGGTTCAGGGTGCCTGGGGGGTGGTTCAACTCCACCGAAAGGGGAGGCGAACAGCTGGGGAGGGGGCTTCACTTTCAAGGAGGCGGTGTCGGAGCGAAAGGGTCTTTGGGGATGAGAAGACCAGGGCTCCCGAGTCTAGAGCCAGGACGAGAAGGGTGGCCCCGGAGCTAGGGTTGGGGTGGGGGGGGGGGGACTGAGAAAAGTAGCGACTCAGCAGGGATCCGGGTGGAGGGGAAAAGGGGGCTCCCGTCCCGGGAAGGGACGAGGGTAAAGGGGGAGGTGCGGCGCTGGGGGAAAGATGAGGGTTTGGCCAGGACAGAAGTAGGGGGTGGGGGCCGGGTCGAGGGGCTCCAGGGTCCCGGCTCCGGGAAGGTGGGGGTCCGGAGAAGTGGAGGAAGGGGACGGGAGGAGGGGTCGTCCTGGTCCAGAGACAGAGACCGGCCGGGACGCGAGGGGCTGGGGGCTCGCGCTCTGGGGCGCAGAGCGGGATGGGCCGGGGGTCCTCTGCGCAGCGAAGAGGGGACGCGGGTCCCGGCGGGGACCGGGAAGGGCGGCGTCGGGGTCGTCTCCAGGGGAGGAGGGGGCTCGGGTCCCGGCCGGCGCGTACTCACGTCCAGGATGACGGCGGTGCCCCCGCGCGGCGAGGCGGGGCCGGGGCCGGGGTCCGCAGCGGCGGCGGCGGGGGCGTCGGGGGCCAGCGGCGCCCGGGGCTCGCCCATCCTGGCGCCCACCCAGCGCAGCAGCCCGCCCAGCGCCCGGCCCTGCGGCGGCGGCTCCCGGAGCAGCCTGTGCGCGCCGGCCCTGCACAGGCGCGCCGCCCGCTCGCACATCGCGCCGCGCCCGCCGCCGCCACCGCCCGGAAGCCCGCCGACCCCCGCCCGGCCCGCGGCCCGCCCCCGCGCGACCCCTCCCCGCGCCGCCCGCGCCGCCGCCCGCGCGCCCCGCCCTCCCTCGCTCGGCCCCCACGGCCGCGGCCACCGGGGGACGGGCCGGCTCCGGGGAACGGGGGGGGCGCTCCGCCCGGACCCCGAGCCACGTGCCCCGTGTCCACCTCCCCCCCCAACCCCCCGCGGCCGGGCGCGGCGGCAGGGGGCTGCCCCCAGGGGCATGAGGCCTCGGGGCTGGGCCCCGGGCCGGCCGCGGAGGGGGCTGTTCAGTAGGCACGGAGTTGGGGGAGGTCTGGCTGTGGCTGGGGGGGGTCCCTGGGGGCTGCCCTCCCGAAGGTTCCCCCCACCCTACCCGTGGCGCCGCCGCAGGGGCCGGAGCGCGGGTGTCCGGCGAGCCTGGAGCGCCCTCTGCCGGCTCCCGCTCCCGGGATCCGTGCCCACGCGCGCGGGCTCCCCGTCACTCCCCCCCGACACCCACTCTTTGCTCCCGCGGGCGTGCACGCCCCCTCAGACCTCCCCCTCCCATTGCACAACGCCCAGAACCGGGCTTTGCCCCAGAACATCCTCTTCCCGTCACACTCCGTCCACCATCATCCATCCATCTAGCCACTGGTCCAAAGGGTTGGTTAGGGAGCCCCCGCTAGGTGCTAGGCCCCGCACTAGACGCTTGGTTCCAATCATGGGCAAAACCGACCGGGTCCTTGGCCTCCGGGAGCTTACATCCGAGTGGGCGGAGCCAGATACTGGAATGATTCCCCAAATGAATGAGGTATTACAACTGAATTGCAATGAAGATGTGGCCCCTTGGGCCATAAGCCATTTGCCCTGGTGGCCATGTGGCCATGGAGGGGTCTGTGTCAGAAGAGGCTTCCTAGAGGAGGTGAGCCCTATGCCGAGAGAGTGGAAGAAGAGGAGGAGTTGGAGAGAGGAGGGAAAGTGCCCTCAGCTGGAGACCAGACTGTGCAAAGGCCCTGTGGCAGGTACAAGCCTGGTGAGGGACTGAAAGGAGGCAGTGTGCTGGGATGGAGTGGGAGAGGGGCAGGGACTAGGCTGGAGGGGTAGGAGGGCTGTGGAAGGCTCTCCAGCAGCCCATTCCTCACACACACCCTCCTGCCACTTCTCTACACAGCTGTGCTCTCACCTTCTCCCACTCGGCTGCCCCCCACTTGGGACACCATCCTGCATCTCCCAACCCCCCAGACCAAGGACTTCCTTCTACATGGCCCTGTGCCCACCCTCCCCCCAGCTCCCAGAGCAGGGCCCTGGGTCCTGGGCCCCTCCCCAAGCACAGAATCCTCAGACACAGGAGTGGAGGCAGGCGCTGGTTTTATTTGGACCTGATTCTGGAAGGAGCCGGGCCTGGAGTCCTCCTGGCTCCGTGCTCAGCTGGCCCTGGTGATCCCGGCTCCCGCTGGCAGCTTTCGCCCCACTCCTAGGTCTGGGCCTGCCCTGGCCTGCAGCCACTGTTCCCCCTGGGCCCCAGCTTGAGTGCGGGCAGCCTGGGTCCCCACTCCTCTTCGTTGGCGAGGCCTGTTGCACAGGCTTGTGGCCGCTCCTGTCTCCTGCCAGGAGAGGCCCCCTTCCCTCACTGGGGCATCTTGGGATGGGCCCTGTGTCCACAGGGCTCTGGCGATCTCCCCTCCTTTTTAGGGCCTGGGTGTGAGGATCCCAGGCTGGGTGCTAGGGTGGCTTGCTGGCCTCCTTCCTCATCAGGGAGCTGGCCACGGCCAGGGCCCCACCCTGTACAAAGCGCACAAAGTTGTCCCCGGCCAGCGGCCCCATGGCGTACAGGCCCTCCTGCTGGGTGCTCTGGTAGGTGAAGGGGTCCACGTCGATGGGGTTCCTCTTGGCGCTCAGTGGCTGGTCAGGGTCCACGGCGAGGTCAGTGCCCGCCCCGGGGAGGAAGGAGAGGTTGGGGTGGGAGCCGATGAGGACTAAGACCAGGGAAACGCCGAAGACCTTCTGGAGGCCCTTGGGGTCCCGGAAGACGGCCTGGCGGTCCTCCTTGAAGAGCAGCAGCTGGTGCTCGGGGAGGCTGCGGTAGCCCTCGTAGGGGCTGGGGGACAGGATGGACTGCTCCCTCATCATCTGGTGCACCTTGTGGTACTCGGGGTACAGCATCTTGGGCAGCTGGTTGAACACCAGGCCGGGGTCGTCCACGGGCCGACGGAAGGCGTGGATGACAGGGATGTTGTAGTGGCGGGCATAGAGGACCGCGTCGGCCGCCGACAGCCCCGCGCCCACGATGAGGACGGGGTCCGAGGCCGGGGTCACCAGGCCTGCCCGTGTGGCCACCTCCAGGGCCGAGAGCTCATGGTGGACGAAGGGCAGGGCCTCCCCGGGGAGGCCCAGCCGGGCCGGGCTGTCGGACGTGCCCGTGGCCAGGACCACGTTGCGGGCGCACAGGGAGAAGGGCTGCTGACTCCGGTCCTCGGCGGTCAGGAAGCCGCTCACATGGAAGAGGGGGCTGGGGTCCTGGGCCCCGGAGCCGCTGGGCTCAGGGATCCCCCACTCCACAGCCGTGACCACGGCACCCGACACGAAGTTGGGGCCCAGGCCCTTCTTGATCACGTAATCCCTGTAGTAGTGGGCAATGTCCCCCGCCGTGGCCCGGCTGTTGCGAAGGCCTCTGGGGGGAAAAGACACAGGAGGGTGAGTGTCAGAGAGTGGGCTGGGGTGTGGGGGGCCATCAGGTGGGCTGGGGGCAGACCAGGCTGGTGTCAGGCCCTGGAGGCGGACAGTGGCCGTGCCACCCACCCGCCGTAGGACTTGGCCACGTGGTTTAACCGCTCAGTCTTCTCTTCTGTAGAATGGGGCTAAGGGTACCTCAGCAGGGTGGGGTTCACAGTGTGGCCTGCAGAGCTAGACGGCCCGGGTTCAGATCCTGGCTCTGCCGTGGAGGGGCTGTGTGCCTGAAACTCCCTGTGCCTCAGTTTCCTCCTTTGCAATGTGGGGAGGATGATGGTGATGGTGCCTACTTTGTGTGGTTGTGCAGAGGATGGGATGATGCTAGAAACAGAGGTGAGGATGGAACCTGGCGGCTGGCGAGTGACGTGTAAGAGTCGTAAGAATCGGCCACTGTTATTGCCTTGAAGGATTAAATGATATTCCACATAAATATGGTAGGATTCCATTTTTATGGAGTTGAGAAAGAGGCAAAATGAATCCATGGAGTTAGAGGTCGAGAAAGTGGTCACCTCTGGGGAGGAGGCGGGGGCGGTGGCTGGGAGGGAGGACGAGGCTCCTGGGGACAGGGCCTCTGCTTCCTGACCCCTGGTGGCTGGGACGCAGGCGTGTTCACTGCGAGAATTTCCACCCGCTGTAAGCCTGTGGGTTCTGTGCTTCCTGTACGTGGGCAATGCTTCAGTAAAGAAGTTGGTTAAAAAGTAACCCGAGCACAGCGCTTTGCTCACCCAGTAACAGCGGGAGGGTTTTATTATTGTAATTGTCACACCACCCTCTCTGGGCCACTTTGCACCAGGGCGCTGGTGGCTGACGTCTCTGCCTCCCCTCAGCTCCTCCCTACGTCTAGCTGTGTGGCCGCAGGTCAGTGGCTTTCCCCAGCTGTGCACATATTGATAAGGATGAACTCAGTTAATGGGAATCCTGCGTGACACGCCCACACCACCAGTTGTCACGGGCTCAGACCACAGCCCCCCAAGGCCACTCCAGCCTGCCCAACTCATCAGTCTGCTACTGAAACTGGAACTTGGAATTGATTTCTGTGGGTTTGTCGTTTCTCTTTCTCTGCTTTAGTAAAAACTGTTTTAAAGGGCTGTCCTGAGAAGCTGCTACGTAGGAGGTTATTTATAACAATGCACATTGGCAAGAATGAATGCCCCATGGCTGGGCCGTGGTTGGGGACTGTGTCCACACCACGAGGGCAGGGAACCCGTCTGTCCTGCATTTTGGCCCCGACAGGTAGGGGGTGGTCAGTGGAGATGCTGGCCCTCCCTCGCGAATATTAGGCAGCTGTGTAAAGGATGGTTTTGAGCTGTGTAGCCGCCACATGCAATGCTATGACAACGTGTCCAATTTTAAGAGTAGGATGTGAAAGGGTATGTCCACAAATGTAACTCAAATCCTGTCTGTGTGTTAGCAAACACATCACTAACAAGCCGGGATGTCTTCCTACCAAATCTGCAGGGACGAAAAGTCTGTGTCAAAGAGACAGACCGTGAACCCTGGAGAGGTGGACACTGAGGTGGGTGGGGGTGACAGGCCCCCTGTCACGGCCCCCGAGGGCAGAGGAAACAGGGCCTCAAGTACAGGGGCAGACGCCACCCTGGTGGCATCGTCTGCCCTGGGGCACCGGGCAGCTTTAACACCTTGCGGCCCAGGATGAGGGAGACTGGGATTCGTTCGTTCAAGGATTCAGCCCCATCCCCAGGGTGGTGGGAGGCGTGCAGGGCGGTCACGATGGAGCAGGAAACACGATGAGGAGAAAAGATCCCGAGACAGGACAGCGACAGGTAGAAGAGGGGGTTGGGGCGACTTGTCTCCCCTCTCTGTTGTCTGTGTTGTGGTTATGTTTCTAATGCAAAAGCTTTTCAAAAGACAGAAGTGCATCCTATTTGCTCATGTAGAAGGAAAGAGATTGTTCCAGGCCTGGCTCAGAATAGCGGGAGGGGTGGCAGGGAGGCCAGAGGACTGGGGAGCCTGGGCCAGAGGCACGGGGCAGGGCGTGGGGGGCAGAGGCCAGCTGTCACCCCATCCTTGGAGGCTGGGATGCTAGGGGGAGGCCAAGTTGGGGTCGTGTGGCAGGGGGAGGGAGCACTGGACTGGGAGTCCTGGGGCGAGCCCCGTTCTGCCGCTCACTCTTCCTGTGGTCCTAGGCAAGTCCTTTCCCTACCTGAGCCTCAGTTTCCCCTCTGGAGTAAGAGGAAGGTGCCCCAGATGAGCCCCGAAGCCCGTTCACCTCCGGTTGCTGGGCTCAACGTGGGGGTGGGCCCGGGTCTTCCCTGCCCCCCGCCCTGGGCTTTCCGGGGTGCCGTACCTTCGCTTCCTGCGCATCCAGTCCTTGACCGGCAGGTCTGGGAGCCCCATCCACTGGCCTCGGCTCAGGGTCACCATGGAGCCTTCGATGGACTGTGTGCGAGAGGAGTCCTTCGGTCCAGGCCTCTGCCGGCCCCCACCCGACTCGAGGCTGGGGGGCGTGGAGGCCTGAGAGAAAGGGGAGGAGGGAGAGGGAGAGGAAGGGGGGGGGGGGGGGGGGAGGAAGAGTCTCAACCCCAGAGACTTCATGGAGATTCGGCCCAGATCCCTCGCACCCCTGCCAGCCCCCACTCACGTGCCAGGCTCCCCCGGGCAGGTTCCGGCCCAGGACCACGTGGGGGATGGCTCGCTCCTTCTGGTGCTTCCAGGTGAGGACGGACTCCATGTCTCCCCCAAAGTCAGTGTCTGGACGCAGGAGGGCATCAAAGAGCAGGGCCACGGGGCTTTGGCACCGGCCTTCGAGGCCTTCGGACAGGTAATTCAGGTCCTGGGTTTGGGGGGATGCAGGTCAGAGGGGCCACCAGGGAAATGCCCCCTGGTCCTGCATTCCCACCCTAATATCGGGGGGTGGAGGGGGGTCAGATGAGCTTGGGAAATGCCGCCTCTCGAAGGAGATGATGCCCAGCAGCACGTTAAAGGCTCTGACAAGGCCTGTAGCTGTCATTAACCTGTTTAATGTTGCCAATCCCAGCGTCTCTCAGACTCACTGGAGTAGGAACATTTTCTCTGCGTATTATAATGAGGAACTAGTGTCCTGTGGGAGGCATTTTGAAAAATGCCCATCTAGACAAAATGCCGGCTTACTTCCTCATCCCCGGCTTGTGGGTGGGAGCCTCGGAGGATGGTTGTGGCCTGAAGGGGGAGGTGGACAACGAGCGGCCTCCTGGGAGGCAGGGGCACAGAGGCAGGACTCAGAAGCGCTCTCGGGCAGGGGGCAGTGGGACTCAAATATCGAGGGCGGGGTTTCTCAACTTTGGCCCTGCTGACATTAGGGCCGGCTCCTTCTTTGCGGTGGGCGCTGTCCTGTATGTTGTAGGGCGTTTAACAGCATCCCTGGCCTCGACCCTCTGAGCCGGAAGTACCCCCACTCCAGCTGTGACAACCGGCATTGTCGCCAAGTGGCCCCTGGAGAGCGAAGTCGTCCCCTGTTTAGAACACTGGTCCAGGGCCGGCGAGGCCAGCTGGGGTGTCACTGCTGCCTTGGGGTCTCTCACAACTTCCGAGGCTGATGTCAGGCCTCTCCTGTTCCGTGATTGGTCTGGTGTCTAACAAATGGGTATTTTGGGTTTCGCCCTGGGAGAGCTGGGGGAGTCTCCCGGGAGGGGGTGCCCCCCACGGAGCTGGGCCCACCTGGTCCAGGATGGCGACGCCAGGTGCCTCGGCGAGCTTCCTCTGCAGCAGGGGGTGCGGGTGGACGGCGTCCGGCTTCACGTATGGGGTGTAGCCGGAGAGCAGGTAGGACAGACAGATGCCCGAGGGACCATTGCCTGGGGGGAGAGAGGGCGGGGTCAAAGGGCGGCACTTTTAGGTGCAAGAGACCGCCCCCCCCCCCTCCCCGCCGCCACCGAGGGCTTTGGTCTTGATCTGACTCATTCATCGATTTGCTTTTCATTCATAAAGACGAAAATACATTTATTAAGCCCTTGGCGTGTGCTGGGCTCTGTGCATGATGACAGTCAATAACAAAGTCTCGAGCGATGGTTGGGTGCCCACTGTGTGCCACTCCAGCAACGAGGAAGCAGGGGTCATCACTGCTGGTGTTTATGGAGTGCTGGCTACGGGTCAAGCTTGGGGTCAAGGGATTTTGATAAAACCAAACAAGAAGAAGCTGACAGCTCTCCTGCTGAACCAGGCCCCTAGGAAGCCCAGAAGGGCATCCACTGTCCCCACTGAGCTCTCCTGATGACTTTAGTGAGGTACATGCTACTCTTTTTTTTTCTTTTATACTTGGAGGAAGCTGGGGCACAGAGAGGTTAAGTAACTTGCCTGTGGTCACACAGCAACACGACCGACATTCTCAGATCACTAGGAACTAGTCCCATCCTCCCAGAGCTGACAGTCCAGTCGCTCAGATGGGCAAGTAAAATATTATAATGCAGATTGCTACATGCTCTCAGGGTTGAGCTCAGGGCCTGTGGGTGCTCAGGAGGGGTGCCACCTGGGGGGCCACCTGCCCCCAGGTCTGAACGAATTGCACCGCTCACCTGTGGCACTTGGGCAATAAACCTCGTGACATCGCCTCCATTCTTATCTGTCTTTCCCCTCGTCTTAGCTTGCGCTGTCCAGAACGTTCCCCATGCACAGGATAGCATGGGGACGAACCGTATGAAATCATGCTGGTCAGCCGTTTTTGATTTACAAGAATGGCCATTTCATGTGGTTCAGCCTGATGCTTGTCTCGAGGGAGGGGCCATCTGTCCCCTGCTTTTGTGGACCCAAGGACAGGACCCCAGGACCCTCACGTGGGCGCCTAGCGCGGGCGCAGGCTTAAGGTCAGTCCCCCCGTACTCTCGCTGGGCCGCCTCGGCAGATGCTTCTGTTCCTGCCTCGCGGGTCCTTGGAGGGATCACGTGGGACGACAGTTTCTAAATTGCTAAGCACAGCGCCGCGCACACAGCCAACACTCCGTGGCCACTTTTAAGGACGACAATTGTAAAGGAAGGCCGGCCTGGGCTCCTGACCTCCGACCCCAGGGACTCAGGGCAGCCCTGAGTGGCACTCACCGATGATGACCGCCGTGAGGGGCTCCGAGCTGCCGGTGCCAAGGTGGTCTTTCCCCCAGTTGCTCATGGCTGTGGCTGGCGGGGGGCACGGGGCTGGCAGCCGACCTGGAGGCAGAGGGGAGGGAGGACCACTCGGTGAGCCGTGGGTGTCACGCAGTCACTCCCAGCTACAGGGTGGCCTCCTGCGGCCCTCAGGGTGAAGTTCAAGGTCCTCCCTGAGGCAGAACAGGATGCCACTCCCTCCCCCTTCTCCCCTCCTCACACCGCTCCAGGGCAAACCGACCCGACCCCTCTCCGGACCCCACTTATGCGGGGGCCCCTGGCGCAGCCTGGTCACCTCGTCTCTCGGAGCCTCACTCGCTCTCCCCATCTCATCGACAGGCGGTAACAGTGCCCGGAGCTTATCATCCACCTTCCACGAGGCCTCGTCTGCCCAGCCCGGGGAGCCCTGCCCAGCACGGTGCGACGGCCATAGCCCCCACCCTGCAATCCAGCCGTCGGGGCTTCAGTGGAGCCCCGTGGACTTTGGAGCCATCACGTGGCCCTGGAGAGGTGCTTCCCTGCTGGGGACCGTGGGCCCCTCCCTGGACCTCTCTGGGTCCCAGTTTACTCATTTGTAAAGTGGGAGCAATAATTGTCTCTTGCCTGCAGGGATGTTGAGGGACAAGCGGTAATGTCTGTGCAGCGCCTGCCTGCAGCCAGTCTGCCCCTGGGACAAGAGCAGAGCGCTCAGCCTGAGCGGGGGTGGGCTGGGCTGGAACAGGTGGGCCCGGTAAACCCAAGCCTGAGGGGCTCGGTTTGGGGAAAATGCTTGTAAACCTGTCGTCTCTGGAGCACCGGCGCCCCCTGCTGGCCACAGGCTCAAATCGCTCACAGGGACCCAAACCAAGTTCTTAGAGCTGCTGGGGCCGGAGGAGAGTCCGGACCCACCTCCCCCACGTCCCCAAACCAGACCCACCTTCCCTGTGTCCCCCAAACCCCGCCAACAGGGCCCCGGTCTCCCTCCCATCCAGCAGCCCTCTGTCCTGAGGATCATAAGGCAGCATCCACAGCATGGGCGAGGCATGGGCGGGCATTGAGCACTTACTATGTAGGGACATCTGACACGGTTTTCCTCCTGTCCTCCTCACACTGACCCCGCGCGGAAGCACCTCCAGTGAATGTCGTCAGTTAGCCCCCTTGGCAGATGTGTGAACTGGGGCTCAGAGGGGGCGCACGGTTGCTCAGTGTCACACAGCTGACTTCAAACCCAACTTAACCAGTGCCAAGGCTGTCTGTGTGCACCATGCATGCCACTCGGCCTGTCCTGGGGAGACCCAGTGGGCATCACAGAGTCACACACTCACGGTAAAGGAGTGGGTGGGTGGGCACCGGGCTGGACCACCCAGAGCGGCCGTGATGGGGCCCAGAGTCACTGGCCTCCAGAATTCTTCCAGAGAAGGCAGAAATCTGGATTTTTATGTGAATTCTCTGCTTTGGAAAAGTGGGCAACGAATTCACGTTGTTTTGAAAATCTTGAACAGGCAAAGCACACAGCCTGTGACGTGTGCAGAGCGACAGAAACACCAGTGTCCACTGCCGGACGGGTCCTGAGCAGACGGACGAGAGACGACCACCCAGACAGGCTGGCGAGAGGACACAGGTGTCACTCGCACAGCGACAATGGACCTTCTGACAGCTCTTTACAGTTTGCGAGGAGCTTGCGCCTGAGAGGTGAGCCACGTCACCTCCGTCTGGCAGGTGAGGAAAGGGAGGCTCAGAGGATGAAGGATGTCTCCCGTGTCACACAGCGGGCGTGGCATGTCAGGTTCCTTGGGAACAGCCTTCCTCCCCTCAGCTGGGGCCCGGCCCGCGACAGCCTCCCCTGCCGTCTGGGTGAGCCCCGTGCCCCCCGGCTTCTCCGTGAGGAGATAACAAGTGACATCGGGGACACACGGCCTTCTCCATGCTGGGTTCCCTGTGGGGCGGTGCCGTCTGCCTGGGGAGGGGACTTGGGGTGACACGGCTACCACTAAGAATAATCACAACAACAGTGGGCAGTGACATCTCCATACTTCTGCGGAGTTGGCTGGGTGCCAGCCATGTTCGAAACCCTCTATACACATCCTCTAATTTAATCTTCATTTAACGGGGTTATTATAAGTACGCTTCCAATCACTCCCGCTTTACAGATGGGGAAACTGAGGCCCAGCGGGCTTCTCACAGCCCTGTGCAGCTCGCACAGGCCGAGCAGGATTCCAGCCCAGGCTGGCCTGCTCCAGAGCCTTCTCCGTGCCCCTGAGCACATTGTGACGGCTGCCATGTGATAGGGTGACAGCACCCGCCAGGGGCCCTTCCTGGCTGGGCTGACAGTGTAGCATGTGTGTCCATCCCTGCTCACCCCCCAGCTCTGTCCTAGCGCTGGTGGTGGGGAGGGAGGCCATGGTGCTGACGTTCCCAGCTGGCAGGGGACAGTTTCTCACTAACCGCCGGCGCTGGGTGTGCCTGGTGGCCCTGGGGGTGGGACTGTCCTTCCCAGAGCGCTTCCCCCCCGCCTTCAGCTGGTACCTTCAGACGGCCCGGGGCCCCCCTGCCTCGTCTTCGCTGTCCCCAGGAATGACAGCAATGGGGATGTATGTGATGCCTGGGCTAAAGGCTCCCCATGCACTAGCTCCTGTGCACTGGCAGCCCTCTCTACAGACAGGGAAACCGAGGCACTGGAGGGGAGGCCACACCCACAAGGTCACAGAGTCAGTGTGTGGTGGGACTAGAATTTGATCCCTGGGGGCCGAGACTACCTGGACACCCCAGAATGCCCGACATGAGTGTGACAGGCTGCCTCCGGCTCCCTCAGAGCTCCCACCCTGGGCCGCGCCCTTCACGTCCCTGTCCCTTTGAATTCCCCCCCCACCCAGTGAGGAAGACACTGGTGGGAGCCTCGTTCACAGATGAGGACTCAGAAGCGATTTGCTGGAGGTGGGGGGCTTTGAGACTCCAAGGCCGGTGCTCCCTCCTGGAAGCTTCTGGATGCCACACCCATGAGGTCACCACTCAGAGGTCGACCTGAGAGGTCACTTCCTGTACCATGACACAGACATCTAAAGTCCTGAGCAGCTTGACGCTCCCCTAACCTCGAAACCACACACACTGTCTATTTACAACGGATGAGTTGAAAGTTTAACTATTTCCACTTCTTGTATGCTTTTTAGTTCTGTGGAGCTGGAATGGCCCAATGTATGATGTTAACTTTTTGTTTGAGTCCTTCTAGTTGAAGATGGCAAATGTCGACTGAAAAATGTTAACATCCACGTGATGTTAACATCCACAGAAGCGAATAAGCATAAAAGAAAGAGAAATCATTGTGCCTTCAAATGATGTTTCTTGGAAGTTGATAGCATGGAACTTGGGGGGGTTCCTAAAACCCGCAACTGTTCTAGGACCCGGGGACACTGGCGTCCCTGCATTTAGGGAGCACCTGGGGGCCCTCCGCTTACTGGACTCAGACCACCCCCTCCCCAGGTGGGTTTTCCTATCCCGGTTACACAGAGGGAGAAACCGAGGTCTGGAGAGAGGCAGTGACTTGCCCTGGAATGTCCGAGACCCGAGCCCGTGTGCACAAATCCTGCCCCTTGACACCTGTCAGAGGGTGAGTGAGTCCCCCCCGAGGAAAACAGCATGAGGATAATGTCACCAAGAAAGTGACGTGAGGCCGTGGCCGGGTGAGGATGTGGAGGCGCCCTGTGCACCACAGTGCTACCTGCCAGCGGTCAGCGCTCACTGGTAGGGGAGCCCTCAGCCGCGCGTCCCCCCGGCTGCATCACCTTCCTCGGGAGCCTCCCTTCTGGGGCCCCAGGAGCTCCAAGGCTGCCCAGACTCCCTGGGTCCCACCCCTCCTTCTTAGCATCCCCGAGCCTTCTCTGAGAAGCCAAGGCCCTGGGAGCCTTGGGGCAGAGGCCTGGCCGGGGCACCGGGGGGCTCTGCCCCACCGAGCAGGAGAGGTGGGACCCGGAGAGAAGCACCCGGAGAGAAACTGGCTGCGGGACCCAGTGACCTCGGATGCCAGGCAGCTTGCCCGGGCCGGCCACACCTCTCTTTGCTGCCAACGGCAGTGTCACGTGGGCATGGGTGTGCTCCAACTGTGGGCAGCAGGGCAGCCGTGGGGCTGAGGGTGCCAGGCACCTGGAGATGAGCATGGCCGGGAGGCAGAGGAGGAACCTGGGGGTGGTGGCAGAATCACACCAGGCCACTCAGGACCATCTGGGGGGATCCCCCTGCCTGGCTCTGGGACCCTGCTGGCCACCCCTGCCCGGGACGTGCTACCGTCTCCCGCTCCTGGGGCCTTGCCCAGGCCACTCACCTGCCGGGCACGGGGTCTCAGGAGACCGGTGAGCCTGGCCTGGTCGGGCACTGGGAGGACCAGGGGTCGTGGTGCCTGCCGTGGGAGCGGGATGCCGAGTACCCTGTGGGGATCCAAGAGGCTGTGCAGGCCGGGGACGCGAGGGTATTTCACGGGCTGGGAAGAGGCGGGCAGCAGGCGGGGCCAGAAAAATCACTTTCATAAGCGTGAGTCAGCAGGGGCCTCTGGATGAATGAACTTGCCCTCCTGGGGGGGGGGGGGGAGCGCGGTCACGCTGCACGCTGCTGCCCGGGCCAGCCTTAAAGGGGCCCCACTGGGCCGGCCCCAGGGCACAGCCGCCCCGCAGTCCCCCCCGCTGGGGCTCTGTCAGGGAAAAGGAACCAGGGCTCCTGAATGAGCCAACCCAGCCTTTTCCCCCAAGGGAGGCAGAGACAGCTTGGCCCAACGTACATACGAGGCGGCCCCTTTAAGTGGAGAGTATCTCTGTTCCCTCATCCATCAGGTCCCACAGGGCGTCTCCCCCCTTCTCCACCCCTCCCCCTCCCCCATAAAAAGCACCAACCTACCCAGGCTGAGAACTCAGCTCTGCCCCTTCCCGGGCAAGCTGCCTCAGTTTCCTCTTCTGAGCAACAGGGGCTCAGTGTTAGACTGTGTCCTGGGTGCGTGTGGCGTTTGCAAGACGTTCTTGGGTACCTAAGACGGGAAGCCCGCTCCCCGCTTCCTATCTTCTCCTCTTCGTTATTTCTTTCTCTTTAGCACCGCGCACCTCCCATTTTGCTGATTCTTACTTATTATATTATTTTCTTGTCTCTCTCCCCCAATCAGGATGTGGTTCCGAGTGGGGAGGGAAGTGTATCTGTGTCTGCTTTGTCCCGTGTCTAGAATAGTGCTCAGCACACAGGGGGCGTGCAAGAAGGAGGAAGGAAGGGAGGGAGCTGCGGAGTATCTGGCCCCTGGACTTCAGTGCATATTAGCTATTATTTTCAGCATTCATGTGACTGTCACCCCAGCTCCTCTCTTCCCACCCTGCCCTGTGGCTGGGGCGCCTGTGGGTGGCAAGTGAGGCACTCACCTTGTGTGCAAAACATAAGGGGACACCAAAACCACTCAGTGATCAAGAAAATAATAGTTTGATGCAATTAAAAAAAAATCAAAATGAATGCCCCAAATCCAGGATCAACCAAATATTAAAATTTCAAATAAAGCCAGGATCTGTAACAGTGCCGTGCGGAGCCGGGCTGCAGCCCGAGGCAGAAAGAAGAATCAGAATAATGATGCTATCTTTATTTAAAACTTTGCTATTTTGTTTCATCCTGGATTTTTGGCAGGACTTTTGACTTTTAAAAATATTGCATGAACACACTCCGAGCTCTGGTGATGGCGCTTTGGTGCTCCTGACATTTGGTGCCTGAGGTGATGTCTCTCTCCTGGTCCGGCCCTGGGGGCCACAGGGGACCAGGTCTGCCTGCAGGACTGTTTTGGGGACAGAGGCTCTCTTGCGGAAAGATGCCTCTGAGGATGCGCATGCGGGATGCTGGTACAGCATGGGGGTGATGGCTGGGGGTGCGTGCACTGAGGGTTTGGGGGCAGCCCGAGGAGCTGGGGAGAGAAGAGAGACTCTGGGCTTAGTGAGGGGTCTGGCACAGTTGGGTCCGTGGCCCAGGGTCTCAAGGACTGGGGAGATGAGCTGGGGACAGTGGCCAGCACAGGGCCAGCCTGAGCTGGGCCCCTCCCACCTGCCACCCTCTCCTCCCTGGAAGCTCCTGGGTGTGCGCCCTTTGCCCAGGACCCCACCCTCAGAAGGGCCCTGCCCTTGGCTTAACGTTCTATTGTCCACACCTTAAAATCATTAATAATTTTTGAACAAGAGGTTCCACATTTTCATTTTGCACTGGGCCCCACAAATCATGTGACCTGTCTGGGCTGGGCTGCACCCTGCATGTGACACGGTGGGTAAGAACTGGCCTCTGGACTCAGCCCTGTGGGCTGGGTGCGCTTGGGGTGGGGGGGGCACTGCCCCTTCGGAGCCTCATTTTACCGGGGTCCCTTTCCTCCTGGGATCCTCAGCTGTGGTGCCCCCTGGGGTCATGTGACACAGTACTTAGCATGGGTCAGAGGGCAGGGGAAACCCACTGCTCCAGGCCTCCACCCCCAGGCTGGCTTCTAGCTCTGCTCCCAGTGTGCTGTGTCACCTTGGGCCTGTGGCCTACCTCTCTGGGCCCCTGTTCCAGCCACGGCCTTGTTACCAACACTCCCTGACACGCTGAGCCTACACCCACACACACCAGGACCTGGCCAGCAGTTTTGAACACACCGGGAGCCCAGTGGCAGCGGGGGAGTGCGGCTTCCGGTAGACGTACCTCTGGTGCAGGCTGCGTCTCTCCCCAGCAGCCGCCTCGCTGTCTCCGCTTCCCCATCCCAGGGCTCTGGTCTGCTACTTCCCAGTGTTTTTGGATAAACTGAGGCAGAGAGAGACACCCCAGGGTCAGAGACTCCCACTGAGAGTGTCTCAGCCCATGGGGGGCGAGGCTGAGGCTTGGGGTCTGCAGGGGAGAGCCTGGGAGGGAGGTGGGCCCCCCGGCCCCCATCTCTGGGTCTCGCCTGTCCACCCTCCCCGACCTGCCCCATCGCCCCCGCTGGCCCTGACCCCTTTTCCGGATTTTGAAAGTTTGCTGATACAGAGAATTGTGGGCGAGATGTGGACTTTCTTCCCTGTCGTCTGCCAAGAGATTATCAGAAATAGAATGTTTGGAGCTGCTTCTGGAAAGCTCGACTACGACAAAGACAGATAATGTCCTAGGCAGACAGAGGGGTGAGGGTTAGAGGGGGCTGCAGAGAGGAAAGGAGTAGGACAGGTCTGAGCGGGGGGACATGGGGACCGGCGCCTCTTGGCCCCCCGACTCCCCTGGAGCCGCCCCGTCTCCTCGCCCCGAGAACAGAGGCAGGTCTGCCCCTGAGCCGCGAGCCTGCGCCGGGTGTGCTGTCCGCAGGGCTGCGGGGTGGCCAGTAAGCCAGGTGCGCAGGTAACTGCATCTCAGATGGACAGGAAGTAATCTCTTACTATAAGTGTGTCCCAGGCAATGTTGGGGATGTACTTATACCAAAAATAATGTTCGTGGTTAATTTGAAATTCAAAGTTACCTGGGCAGCCTGTATTTTCTTTGGCAAATTCGGTTTAAGTGCGGAAGACACACTACGTTTCAAAGAGTTAGTCCCCAAAAAAGATACAATGTCTCATTAATAGTTCTTATGTGGATTACATATTGAAATGAAAATATTTTGGACACCTTGGGTTAAAAAAGATACTGTATTAAACTTCCTTTCACCTCCTTTTTACTTGCTTCTTGTGGCTCCTGGGAAACTGAGTCACACATGCGCCTCCTACTGGACCTCGGCACCTGCTGGTGTAGACGCGGATCCCCGGGCCCAGCACTGGAAGCCCCGCCGTGTATTAGGAGCCCCTCGGTCCCAGGCAAACCAGGACAGTTGGTCCCCCTGGAGCACGGCAAGTGGCTGGGTGGGCAGTGTGCCTTGGGAGAGGTGCGTCCCATCTGAGCCTCAGTTTCCCCATCTGTGCACCTGTCTTGCCAACGTGGGGCTTGCAAGGGGGTGGCAGCTGATCACTACAGCTGAGGGAAGGGGCCTGGATGCGGGAGGAGCTCAAATGCAGCGGCCTGTTGCGCTTGTTGTGGCAGCCCCCCCACTGCCCCCGCCCCAGGCCCTGTCGCCCCCCAATGCTTCCCCCAATCCACTGCAGGTGCTCCGGAGCTGGGGGACCAGCAGAAGAGAGGATGGGGTAACTTCAGGTTGCTTCCCTGGGGATCTGGGTTTTGAAATGGATTCCTTCACTCCCATATCAAACTCACCAGACCTCTCTCCTAAGAAATCCCAGGACCATTGGAAGGGCGGCCCCTGGCCCCTCCTCCTTCCTGCCCCCTTCTGTTCCTCCTCATCCCTATTTCTCTGTGGCGGCTCCCACAGCTCTGCACTTGCTGGGCACCTCTGGGCGCCAGGCACTGTGGACAGAAGGTTCTTTACACACAGCTGAGGCTCATCTTGAGCCTGAGGTCACACAGCATGAGCAGCAGAGCAGGGTTGCACTTGCAGAGTCTGGGCACCTCTAGGAGAAAGGCCGACAAGGAACTATGGAGGGAACGAAGCCGCCTTCCTGTCTCAGACACAAAGGCACAGCCGGACCTCTCCTGAAGGGCCACTATCCCCAGGGCCACCGGCTTTCCAAGGTGCCCACACTATGAGGCGTCTCGGGGATCCGTGTTTTAGATCCGTAGCCGAGTCCAGTGAGGAAGGCACGGGGCCACCTCTCGCCCATCCTACAGGTTAGGAGACTGAGGCCCTGAGTGTGAGATGTGGCCCAGTCACGGGAAGCGGAGGGGCTGGGACTGCGACCCGGGCTGCCCAGTGCCCTGGCATGACCAGGCCAGCACATGACAGAGAACTAATATTTGCCCGCGCCTTGCCCTTCACAGATCCCTGGCCTCCACCTCGTCGCATCGATTCTGCCCCCACCAGGGAGGTGGGCAAATATTTCCCGTGACAAGTTCAGTTTACAGATGAAGAAACTGGGGGAGACTTGCCCAGGGCCATGTGGCAACGTGGTAGAAGAGGGGCTTCTGACTGGGGCCTGTCTGGGGGCAGACCCCGTCCTTGTCCTTGCTGCCCCGGGACGCCCGGGGGAGGGAGCAGGGCTCAGTGCAGGTGCCTGATCCCCAAGTCACCGCAGACCCTGGGGGAGGATGTCAAAGCTGGGGAAGGCCCTGCGCCCCCCACATGGAGAGAGCCCGGGCGGTCAGGAGTCAGAGGAGGATGCGGTGTGGGCCCCGGAAGGAGCGTCTGCATAGGGCTGAGGCTGGGGGTCACCAGCCACATTCTCTGTTTCCTGATTCCCCACTCTTTTCCTTAAAAACCAGTAGGAAAGTTTTGGCAGAGAGTGAATGTACCTTCCGCCCAGTGAGGTACAGCCCAGGGTGTAAAAGGCTTCCCTTTTGTCAGGCCAACGGGGATTCTGGCTCCATCACTTTCAGCTGTGTGACTCTGAGCAAGTGACTTAACCTCTCTGAGCCTCCATTTCCTTGCCTATGAGATGCAGATAATGGCAGAGCAGTGCTTCTCATCGCTGCTGAACATCAGAGTCACTTGGGGGTGAATTGAAAGATACACTAATTGCCAACCCATCCCCAGAGATTCTCACGGCACCGGGCTGGGGTGCCGCTGGACGCAGGGAGTTTCGTAGCGGTTCCCACATGCAGACAGGGCTGGGAGCCTCTGTCCCTGTTTGGAGTTGGAGGATGAACTGAGATGCAGCCTCAACTGCACCCAGCCCAAGGAGGCGCCCAATCCATTAGACCCCCCAGCCTGGGGGCCCATCTTTTTGTAAATCACATTCTTACGCGACTGTAGGAACAGCCACGAAGTCTGAAAGAGAAATAGTTTTTCAGAAAAGCAAGGCCCCCAGGAAAGCAGAGGCCGGCTGGTGACCCTGGCGGGGCCTCATGAGAAGCCCAGAGAACCAGCGACCCCACCAAATGGATGAACCTCCATGTGGCCTTGCTCATTTACCGTGACTTAGTTTCCCCGACTCGGTTCTCATGACATTGACCTTTGAACTCGATGGAGCACTGACGTCCACCCCCGTGGCATTTCATCTCACTCTTTGAGTGCACAGCCATCCTCTGAGCCCCAAATTCCAATCCCAAAGGAAAACCCCCGAGCCAGAAACAGCTGCAGTAAACCAGGAGCCGCCACCCCCGCACTGATGTTCACGGCACAAACCGCGAGCCGCGTCCGGGCCGGCTCCTGAGGACAGGTCAGGACATGGGGGCGAATGCTGCGAGAGGAACATTCTCAGCCTTTGCAAATGGCAGTTGCGGAGCCGGGAGGCATGAACTCCTTATGACAGGAGCAAGGGAAGCAGACGGCGAAACCGCACTGATGGCCGGTCGCCGGGGCCACGGAATCATAGACGGATTTTTAAAAATTCAAATTTCCGTTATCTTTGTATAATCAATAATAATCATCATAAGTAAAGACAATTCGAGACAAGGATTTCCTCTGTTTCGTTTTGTTCACTGGTGTGTGCACAACACAGGGCCTGGGGCATAGTAGTAGCTCAGTAAATATTAAGTGAATGAGTGAATGAATCTTGTTGCTTTCACACTTTCCTGATAGACTCTTAAAGCAGTTTTGAGCATGGATTGCCCCTCTTGGCTTTATATCATTTTCGTATGGATTGGCATGGCTTCAGTATATTTAAATCTTTGATGACAATTTTGAATTGGCCAAGGTTGAAGACAGAGTCCTGTGGCGCATCATTAGAGACCCTTCCTCCAGAGGACGTGACTCTATGATTGGCAGAGGGGTGAGTGACAAGGGTCCGGTCTCTGGAACTTACTAGCTGTGCATCCTTGGGCAAGTTACTTCACTTCTCTGAGCCTCAAGCTCCTTGTCTATAAAATGGGGGGAGTAACACCTGTCCCCCGGGGTAGCTTGTTGCCTGGCACCTTATGGGTCCTCAGTAAATGGGGGATATACCCCTCCTCTCTGCCCACCACCATCCAGACATTTTTACTCTGGGCCGAGTCCTTTGTGTGGCTCTGGACCTGCTGATTTCCCAAACATCCAGCCCACATCCCCTTAACCCCTGACCCCGCCAACGTCCTCCAGGGCACTGGTTCTCAAAGTGTGGTCCCTGGAGCAGCAGCAGCAGCTGGGAACGTTTAGAAATGCAGATTCTTGGGCCCTGCCCCAGACCCACTAGATCACAAATTCTGGGGTGAGCCCAGCAGTCTGCATTTTCACCAGGCTTCTGGGGGATTCTGACGCTCCCTCGAGTTTGAGTACCACCGCTGTCTACACCACCTTCTGCAGCAGGCTGTAGGCCCCACAAGACAGAGGAATGACAGTCATCTGACTTGCCCGCTCCTGGCGGATCCATGGGACGTCCTTGGGCCACTGCTGCATCCTCCCCACAGGCTTGAAATCTGTGAATAATCTGTACTCGGGGCTGGAGTTCCAGCACGTACGTTGGTCATGCCTCAGAAAACCGAGGCCCGTCTGCTTGTCCCTGACCTTGAGAGTCCAGCTGGTGTCCTGTGGTTCCTCCAAGGGCACGTCCCAGGCCCCTGGGCTCCCTGGGAGCTGGTTGGCTGCATGAGGAGGCCCGCAGGCCCCAGGCTGTCTGTGGGTCCTTCTTGTCCACATTCGTTGTCCTGGACAGACACACCGAGCAGCCCTGGGTTGCCACGCTGTGTCCTCTGTGCCATCCGTGGCTGTGGCCCGTTGGCCCCCGCAGCATGACTTTCTTTGTTTCTTTCGCCTCACATGCTGCTTGAAAAAGCCTGTTTGCCTCCGTTATCAGGTCTCACAGACCCTTGGGGCCTTGCCTTCCTGGGCACGTGGGGTCAGGGCCTCAGGTGAGCCAGACCGTTCCGCAGGGACAGGA